TATCAAAGAGCAACGGGGAGCTGCTGGAGCGCCATGAGTCCTTTGTGCGTGTTAGTCCGGGTTCTTCTTATCTAGCCAGAACATAAGACACGTACCTTGTCGGAGACACCCCACACAGTGATACCGACGCAGGAGGTGATGTCGAGACAGGCGTTGACCACCTATATTGGTTAGTATATTTCCACTGAAAAACGTGGACAGTTCGCCTACCTCGAGGTAAGACTCGGGGCTAGCTCCTTCGATATCAAGTTCGGTTACGGCAACCTCGGAAACACCGGTCGAGGCGAGCGCGGTCAGAGCTGTGCTTGGTGTTAGTTTTTTATTTCGTAGTGGGAGGTATAGACTTATCCTTTGGCGCCGGAGACAGGGAAGCCATTCGCGCTAAGCAGTTAGTAGAGATCGCGTGGTGGAATTGGGGAGGGCATACCTATAGTGAGATTGGGAGCCTAGGCTAAGTTAGAAGGCAATTCTATCCACGGAACGGTGACAACTTACCAATGCCGTCAATTGGAACACCGGCATCCAACCACTTCTTCACGTAGTTGACCATTCCCTGGGTTTTGGCGTAGTCGGCAGAATCCAGACTGACATTGTTAGCCACAGGTATGTCCATCTGGATGATAGCTTACTTGTAGTCGTTAATGTAGAGCTTAGCGGTAGGGTCCGCCTCACGCGCAGTCTCGAAGGCAATCCGGACGAAGTCCTCTCCCAGGACCTGGGAAAAGACACTGTCACGCAGGGTACCGTCTTCGTCGAAGATCTCGTTGACGACATCCTGCGCTGGGTTAGTGCTGAAATTAAGAACATCCGCAATCGCAAACGTACCCAGGCATAGATTTGACCCTTATATCTCTGCATGATGGTCGTGATGTGATTCTTGATCACCTCAGTCAGGGTATCCTTGTCGGTGATACCCTGCACCCAGGATGGGAGCTGCGAATGCCAGACTATGCATGGATTTAGCCTCAATCGATGATGAAACCAAGTTCACATGGAGAATGGCAACACACCCAAAGTATGCCCCCTCACAAGTTTGTTATTGGTTTTGGCATAATCTGCCTAAGATACCTCGTCAGCATCAACACCCACTCCCCCAGAGCGAGTCACTCACCAGGAAATCAGCTCCACCAAAGCTAAAGCTACCCTGACTCGCTGCTTTCATCAGCAAACATTCAACTACAAAAGACCCGGAGACAAACGCTCAAGAGCATCCCACTTCATGCTATTCTCGGGAGTCAGCTGGCCAAAGTCCGCCCGGACAATGGGCTCATTCTGGGCGTTCTGCAAGAGAGCCTGGTCCGAACAGGTACCGAAGTACTTCTTTCCATGGGCGACAAAGGCGTCATTGATACTGGCAGCAGCCTGTCGACTGATGACGGCAGACGAGGCGAGGGAGGCGAAGAGAGTGCCGCTGGCAAGTGCCTTGAGATGGACCATTTTCACGAAAGGGAATAGTTTACTAGAGTTGATAACAATGCAATAGATAGACCCGATTGTGATTGACAGAAACCAGCTCGAATGCCGTATTTATATTCCCAATCGACCTACCAGGTACCATTCTTCAGCCTGTTTCACCGAGGTAGACACGACACGTTTAGCCTAATACTTCGAGCCAGTAATTCCTTTCCCAATACAAAGCGGACCTGAGTGAGGATCCACCAGGGCTGGCCACAAAAGCCGACATTGGCCACGCTAGACGGGTACTTTATTTCCTCCCGTTGGTGGAGAATATGGCGATCTGCAGTGTCCCCGCAAACTGGCCTTCATTTTAGCCTCCCTGGCGCTTTCGGCAGATCGGGCCTCCTCAGCTACCCGCGGATGCAGGGCCTTTTCTGCAGGAGATGGGGAGGCTGTGAATGTATCATTCTTCCCTGGGTAAATGGGTAAAAGAGATCGGTGCCTGTTTGTCGAGTAAAAGGAAGCTGGTTGGATTAACCCAGAACTTGGCACTTTAGCTGAAACGACATTGGAAACCACCGTTCGGACTCGGCAGTTATCCGAAACAGTTTGGATGAATGCCCAGGGTGACCTTAGTAATCTACTTCTCGTGGTAGAAAGTCGCACTCGAGGCACAAACAGGTCGCCTACCTCGTGTTGAGCTTGGGAAGGTTGATCTCGAGTAAGTTTGTTTGGGTCGAGCCACCAACAGTCCGACACGTCGACCCATACTGATCATGTCAGACAGGAGGTGAGCTTTTGCTTTTACATTTTACGCAACATCTACTTCTTCGAACATTTGTAGTTAGAGGTTCAAACTATAGTCGTGATATGCCTTTGTTTTCTCTTCCGCCACGATACCTACTATACGTGTTATCGCCAGGCTATATATAATTATCTACGGGTATCCAAGAGTCACCACATGCATCTTCGCCTCGCAGCCATAAGCGACTGCACACAAGGCCAATCCTCCATACATTTCGTATTTTCCAGACCCTGTTCAATTGAATATTCCTCTTGTCCCAAAGTCGACCATCGCCCCTTCTCCAACTTCTCCTCTGTTTTCGAATCCTCCTTAGACTCCACCGAACTCGTCGGACTCCCACTGTCTCGCGCATAACCCGATAGCCCATCGATCGCATGAAATCCTTGCAACCGCAACTCAGTCTTAATATGCTCTTCTGCAATAAAAGCTGCCCAGTTCGAGTCAAAGACCCCCTCGCGATGCGGCCAAGCCCGAAGTAGCTCGATCGCCCGCCAGCGCAGGCTGTAATCGGGACAGCCGATCGAGATGATATACAACGGGGGGACGACACCCATATCTAAAGTGTAGTTGGGGCGCTCTCGGAACTTGTACATTACTGCTTCTATGAGGGCGAGGTTGGCTTTGTACTCGGGCTGGTATTGACCAGTAAGACCTCGTCTCGGATGAGAGCCGTTCGCATTGATAGGGATGTGGTATGTCGGAGGATGTTGATCATATCTGCTCCTCGTTGATCTTTCCGATTCAGTCGCGTATACGAGTAATTATAGAAGGTGTCGAACTGCACCGAGAAGTGGTTCAACTCAGAGAATAGCTTTTGTTGTCCCTGTTGTAGCCCTTTATAGTTGCATATGATTTCTTTGTCGGACTTGGACCAGCAGTCCATGAGGAAGCCAAAGGCCCGACTTAATAGAGGCTCGATGGCACGGCGCGCTTCACGGACATTAGAAAATAACTGATAGTCCTCCGTGGCGCAGACGTCCAACTCGTCTTCGATGCGTAAGATCGGTCCTCCAATCTTGAAGCTCGCGGCTTGAATGTCCAACTGTGCGAATGCGGCGACAAGAGCTTCTTCCACCGGTGATCCATGCGGGGCCCAGGTGACGAGTTGTCTCTGAGCCTTCAGCTCGTTCAATATCCGTAGACCACCCTCGAGGTGCTGAAAGGCGTCATCGTATCGTCCGCGTAAGAGCTCCATCAGCACAAACAAGAGACAACACAGCAGCATGACCTCCCGCAGACGCGGGTCTTGGGAGAAATGGCGTTCATTGAGAATGGCGAACGACCGCCCGGCCTGTTCCATGGTGAATCGATGCCAGGTATTGTAAAGCTCTAGCTCCTGTCCGGGCAGGGGCATGCCGTGCATTTCGACATCCTGATGGATGGCACTGAGCGCCACAGCCGCATGGTACACGGCGGGTTCGGCATAGCTCATCTGCAGGACGAGCTTTTCCCACAGCAGCGAATTGAAGAACCCCGACAGGGTCGGAATGGTGTAGTACTGGAAGTAGGAGAAGCAGCGGCGCTCATCCGTATTGGTGATCCAGCGAATGCCACCGCCTACCTCGGGGAGCAGCCGACTCCAGGGCGTCTTCTTCCTGCTGGATCTCGCCGGCGGCGGCAGCCGTTGCAGGTCGTAGCCATCACAGGAGCGACCGCTCGACGTGCAGTTTCCGCATGCCCCCGGGGCTTCATCACACTTGACGTGGCGGGCCCTGTGTGCGATCGACGGTTAGTGTCACGCCGGGCAATAAAAGTCGCGCGGGGCATTTACTCGTAGGACTCACCGACAGGTCCGGCATCCAGTCCGCGACCTCTTGTTGGCAAAGTTCCGTTGTCGCGACTTCTCCATGAATCTCCTCTTCTCGAGACTGCGGCAGGCACACATGGTTTATACCGGGGGGGGGGGATTGAAAAAGAAAAAGGGAAAGGGTGACCAGGCGAGGCTGAAACTGGGGACAGGTTGAACGAATGAGCCGAGCGGGGCGGAGTCCAGCGTCAGCACTAGTCACACCCTAATGCAGTCTAACTTTGGGCCAAGGCTCGGTGGCATTCTCGCCATTACAAGAATGTTGTATCTTCACAGTCGGCACAGGCACCATGCGCCATCGATCTCGATGTGGCTTTTTTATCTGCGATCTCTCCCCGACGAGTGATCGCCTCCGTGTCATAATGACTCTTCGACTGCTGGTCTCCCCGCATTCATGTCGACCATGCGAAAGGGCCCTGTGGTAGCCTGGACGAAGACCCAAGGGTGACCGTTGCTGATAGGGCTGAACGCCGGACTTGCCCGACCTCAGGCACCAATCCCGTGGTCTCAGGCGATCAATAAGCTTCCAACACGCGCATTCTTTTTCATTCTCTCCCACACCAACATTTCATTCCGCCCTCGGCCATTCCGACTCGGAAATATAAACCTAACCCCACTCTTCTCCATCCCCTCAGATACGAAACAACACACACACACACACACACACACACACATTCGTCGGACATATCCGACCGGAATGTCACCGCCAGGCGGATGAAGATCGTATCACCGGCAAGACCGTCGGAAATTAAGGGGCCAAAATCGGAGTTAGTATACGACCGTGTGGACGAACTCTGAAGCCACCCGCAAATCAGGCTGGTCTAGACTAAACGATCCAGATTGTATATTCCAGACCTTTCGCTTAACATTACCAACCATAGCATCGAAATTGAAACCGAGAGAAAGATAAATGTGATTAGACGAGTAAAGTGATCATTAAAGGTATATACAGGACATTAACTCATAAAGATCGATCGTGACATGGGGGCTTTATAAAAACCACCGGAAATCCGGACTACTGGGACCCTCCGCCAACCTCTCGGTCGGGATATCCAGAGCCCGCAGTGTAACCCCTTGTGCACGATCGCGCCGCTTATTATCCATCATCATCCAAAACCCAAGAAGAAGCGTGAGGACGATACCCGCCCCTCCGAACGAGGCCGTAGCAATGAGCGCAGGCAGGTACTTCGGGGCATCCTGGTTGCGGAAGATGTTCGAACTGACCACACCCATCAGGTTCGCAAGGGGTACCGCGATACTCGTCAGGACGACTCGTTTCCCTTCGCTGGCGATGTTGTTGTTGTACCAGACATCCAACAACACGGATGGAGCGGAGGTACCCCAGGTCATCATGAACGAGGCGAAATAGGCCACATTGATATTCTGCTCCGGGTCAATCGCCACGTAGATGATCATGCCCAGGAAGGTAAATAAGAAGCCCAGAGCGATGAATGGGAATCGCCATCGCGTCCAGTCGCTGCAGAAGGCGAGGATGAGGAGCACAACAGCGCCAGAGACGTTGGGGGCCACGGTGTAGAGGTTCGTCTTGACGGTTCCGTATCCGAGTTTGGAGATGATTTGGGGGAGGAACAGCTGGACGGATTGCAGAGGGACGCCGAGACAGATCTGGATCCCTACAACTGCCCAGCTGGTGGGATGCTTAAAGATTCGGAATGCATCGCGAATGTTGAGTTTCTCGTTGACGACAGCGGAACTGTCGAGCTGCATCCGCGTGAATGCCAGTGCCTTCTCGGCTTCGGAGAGGAAGCTCGCCTCGGATGCCGAGCGGGGCAAATACCAGAAGACGAAAATCGCGAAGAGAACGGTCGCCAGGCCTTCAATGAGGAAGAGATAGCGCCATGGGGTCAGCGGACCGGAGTGGATCTGGAAAACCCCGAAGGCGAGAAGTCCTGAGAAAGCCGAAGCAATGCTCTGTGCGGCATAAAAGATCGCCAGACGCCTGGCCAGTTCACCTCGACGATAGAAACTGGGAATATGCATGTTAGCAAACCAGTCACATCAGCGGGAGCGCCTGGGTGGTAACTCACGTTGTCAAATAATAGATCACCAGCGGAAAGAAGGCACTCTCGGACATGCCAAGAAACCATCTGATCGCCATCAGGCCTCCGAAATTATACACAACCACCACTAAGACCGTGCACAGCCCGAAGGTGAGCATCATGCAGGGCAAAACAAGGTTCGGCCCGTACATCTTGCCTAGGATGCCCAGAAATGGTGCCGTCAAGACATAGGGGATGAAGAAGATGCTGAGGATGATGTTGTATTGGTCGCCCTTGAGGTTGAGAGTGTCTGCAGAGAAGTTATCAGCATGGTGTTGGTCAGGCTCAAAAGACTAATGTCCCATACCCTCTAAGCCGGCTGTCTTTGCATTCCCTAGGTTGGATTTGTCCAAGCTATTGAAGAGATACATGATCGCTAGGACAGGAAGGATGCGGAAATCAAATTTCCGGACGAGCGCACGCTCTGCACAGGCGTCAATCGGGTCGGCGACGACCACCTGTGTCTCCGTGTCATCTTTCCCCAGATCCACTGGTGGCTTGACCACAGGATCCTCCGGTGATTTTGAGTTATCCATAATGGTTGGTCTCGGAATGATCCTTGGAGTTATTGAGTGATCCCAATCAGGGCGCACCCGAGCCATTCATATACGTTCCATGATCGATAGCTTAGGCGATAAGTCGTGTCATCTAGCGGAGTCCACTATCACTCCTCTAGTATGAGAGAGAAGCCCAAGAACCGTCCGCTCGGGAGGATTAGGGTTCCGGCTCCTATTCCGGAGATACTCCGCGATAAGAAAAAGGGAGGATTATCTCCGGCCAATCAGAGCACTGAAATATCTTATCTTGTACTGCCAGTAAGAAAATGAGGTAACGCTTCCTCTGCCAAAATCCAACAGTTCCTTATCATCGTCACTCGCCCCATTGGCCCTTCTGAGCGCCAAGAAGATTTAAAAATCCATGAGCAATGAGATCAAATAATAAAATGCACCGGTACATATCATTGGCTAACCTTCTACGTTTATACTATATCCTCAGTAGTTTATCTTCTCCCCGCCCCTCAAGATTTTATGATAAAGCCATTGTGGGCTCGGGATTGACTTCCTTGTGTTCATAATAGCCGAATAGTTTCTGTCTCCGAGCATATTAACAAGATCAACCAGAGTAGAATAGCGGAAGTATATCTATTAATTCCCCACCGCAATGGCATTCCTCTCATACAGGCTCCCTTGCGTCCTCAGTCGACTCTGGCCCGCATCGTCAATCTTCTGTCGTAGAACCACAGGTTCCTTCTGGTCCCGCGAAGGCTCCTCCCCCCAGCCGCCTCCCCCCGGCGTCAAAATCACAATGCGATCCCCCGGCCGGAACTGAGCCGTCTGTCTGGGTCCTAGGGCAACCCTCCGAGTGGACCCCGTCACAGGATCCTTCCGAATCCACACGTTCTCTCCACGCTTGCCCTCCTTGCCACCCGCCATTCCATAGGGCGCCGTGACCCGTCGGTCCGACAGAATCGATACCTGAAGAGGAATCCGGAACTCCATATCACGGACGCATCCGTCACCTCCCCGATGTAGACCTGCTCCGCCGCTTCCCCGGCGAATGGAGAACTCGTGTAGAATGACTGGGTACCGCTTTTCTAGAATCTCAGGATCGGTAATGCGAGTGTTGGTAATGTGGGTGTGTACTCCGCTGGTGCCTTCCCAGTCGGGTCCAGCTCCCGCTCCGCCGGCAATGGTCTCATAGTAGCCAAAACCCTTGACAACCTTCCCTGTGATGGGGTCTGTGCCTCCGTAGCCGAATGTCAGGTTGTTCATGGTACCCTGGGAAGCAGCGGCTGCCTGGAAGGCTTTGAGGACAAGATCAGCGATCTTGGACGATGTCTCGGTGGTGCATCCGACCGTCGCAGCAGTGATGGATGGTGACAGAATAGTACCCTCAGGGCAGACCACATGGATTGGGGCCAGACAACCCTGGTTGAGAGGTATATCCGCAGATATCATCGATCGGAGACAGTACTAGAATTCGTTAACAAATATCGTATATCTATGAACTCGTGAATCCCTACCATGATGGCAGAATGTAAGCAAGCTTGCGGCGAATTCAAGTTCCCCGAATGCTCTGGCCCAGTCCCAGTGAAATCAAAAACGGTGTTGCCTGTATCCTTATCGATTGTCACTCGCAGATGGAACGGGATTCCGTCGTCGTTCCTCTCCTCTGCTTCCAGCACCCCACCTTCGTATCGTTGGGCGAAGCCTTTCAGCAGGTCCCGCACGGCCTGTGCGGCATTCTCCTGGATTGCATTCATGTAGAACTCGACGACCGGCCAGGTGAACTCTTTAATGAGAGCTTGGATCAGCTGGATACCCTTTTGGTTCGACGCGACGGCCGCCTTCAGATCGGCAATGTTGTCACTCAACGTGCGGGTGCCACTGCAGCCCGGGAATGTGCCGGGAATCTCATACAGATGTCGGATCAACCCAGCCTCATCGAAAACACCTTGGTTGACAAGCTTGAAAGACTCAATGGCCGCTCCCTCTTGCCAGAGTTCAGTCGAATTGGGAGGCATAGAGCCTGGGGCAATTCCACCCACGTCGGCGTGGTGACCGCGGTTCGCCACGTAAAACAAGATGGCTGATGGGTTCTCATTATCGTCAAACACGGGTGTAATAGTTGTAATATCTGGAAGGTGCGTACCACCCGCAGCCGGATGGTTACTGATAATGACATCGCCGGGCTTCAGATCACCCGGTGGATGTCGCTCAATCTGCGCCGTGATAGCCGTGCTCATGGATCCGAGGTGACCAGGGATGTGAGGTGCATTAGCCACGAGTCCACCATCAGCTGAGAAAATGGCGCAAGAATAGTCCAACCTCTCTTTGATATTAACAGATATAGAAGTTTTCTCCATCGTGTGGCCCATCTGCTCCGCCACGGTCATAAACCGATGACTGAACACGCTCAGTTGGACGGGATCCACCGCATTGGTTGAAAGCTGCTCCTGGTTCACGCTTCCGACTTCTAAAACCACATGCTCAGGCAAGATGGTCGCTCTGCTTGCATGATCAACTACAATTGTCTGTGTCTCGTCAATAATCATGGCCGGCCCACTGATCCGGGAGCCGGGACTCAGGCAAGGGAGCGTATAAACGTTGGTATCTGCCCAACCAAGTATATCATAGAATACTTTTCGTATAAATGCTGGTGTTGGTGGCTGAACTATGCAATGATCATCCAGCTTCTTCAGTTCCTTGAATGGGCTCGAGGTATCTACGACTCGGGATTTTCCAATACTCCGCACACGAACATCATCAATCAATATATCCCGAGACTGGGAGAATCCAAACTCTTGGGAATGTCTAGTATGAAAGGCTGTTCCAAAGTCTGACAGTTGCTCAGGTTTCCGAATCATCAAGGTCGTATCGCTGCCTTGATATTTCATGTTCAAAAAGCATTCATGCACGATAGATTTTTCCTCAAACCCCTGGAGTTTCAAGGCCTCCATACCTTTCTTAGATATCAGATCCAGCCGCGCTTGGAGCTCGGATAGAGTCTTTTGTTCAAATTTCCACGCTACAGGCTCCTGACTCTCGACCACCACATCGGCCAGAGCCATCCCGTATGCAGACAAGATACTTGAGTAGCGGGGAATGATTGCTTTCTGGATCCCCAGGTCTCGAGCAATAAAGACGGCATGCTGTCCACCGGCACCTCCAAAACATCCAAGGTTATGGCTAGCAGCGCTGTACCCTCGGCCTTCACTGAGCTTGCGGATGGGTCTTGTCATCGTTGCATTCGCAATAGCCAGAAAGCCTAGCGCCAAGGTTTCTGAGGTAAAGGCATCTCCACCTCCCTTGTCCCTGTTAATAACATCTGTCAAAGCGGCAAACTTGTGTTTGACGATATCTAGATCTAGAGGCTTTGGAAAATACTCCGGAATGATTCGTCCTAGTAGCAGATTGGCGTCTGTCACGGTCAACGGCCCACCCTTTCCGTAGCATGCAGGACCGGGATTTGCGCCAGCACTCCGTGGCCCAACCTTGAGCAAGCCAGTCTCCCAAGTCAAGATTGACCCGCCTCCCGCTGCGACGGTGTTGATATCCAGCTGAGGCGTCTGAATGGTAACCTCCGCGATTGTGTTTTCGAAAATATGCTCAAGAGCGCCGGAATACCGGGCCACATCGGTACTGGTTCCGCCCATGTCAAACCCCAGCACCGGTCGGCCTTCCTCCGCATCATAGCATGTTCGTGACAAACCCACGACACCTCCCGCAGGACCACTGAGTACCCCTCGGAGGCCTGAGAAGCTGTTCCAAGTTGCTAGGCCACCGTCCGACTGACTTAGTAGTACCTTGTTTGCGTTTTCATCGTCTAGCTGGCCCTTGAATCCCTTCCGAAAGCCTTCAAGGTACGAAGCGGTCATTGGAGTGAGGTAAGCATCAGCCACGGCTGACTGCGTTCGAGGGACGAATTTGGCCATCGATTGCAGAACTGATGACGCTGATACTTTGAAGCCCATTTGTTCGGCTAACTTTGTTATCTGAAGCTCGTGCTCTGGGTAGGTATATGCATGCATAAGTCCGATGGCCAGATTTCGATACCCTTCTGATTGCAACGCCTGTAGCTGTGAGCGAACGGCATCCAGGTCTGGCGTTCGTAATATTCTCACTACCTCGCCCGTCAGACCGACAACGAGGTTAGGATCAGACACGGCGTCGATAGTTTTGGGCTCGGGATCCTCGCTATATCCTTCAATCGTGATGCGTTCGTCAACTTCAACCACTGTCTCATAGAGCTGCTTAAGCCGTTGCACGGAGAGATCGAAAATGTTGGGCCGAGCCTGATTCCCAATTAAGAGGGAATCGCGAAAGCCCTTGGTCACCATGAGGGCCACACGATCGCCCTTCCGCTCCAGAAGGGCATTCGTAGCCACTGTGGTACCCATTCGGATGGATTCAACGGATGATAGGTCAAGCAAAGAGCCTTTGGGTATCTCCTCGCCACTTGCCATTTCTAAAATGCGTCTGATACATTCTGTTGGGGCATCGTCGTACTCATCTGGAGAGGCTGATAGAATCTTGAAGACAACATGATCTTGTCGGCCAGGGATATCCGCCCAGGCATCTGTGAATGTGCCACCTCTGTCGATGGCAATGCGGATGCCATTCTTGATCATTGTGTCAGCAGTTGAGGTTATGTAAAGACAATTCTGGATTGAGAACGACCGCAGAGGTGTTCCTCCAAGAAACGACGCGACTTCATCCTTAAATAATTGCATTCATGTTCGCATCCAAATGCGGGGTTACGATGATAAACGACGATAACCTCCGGCAAGTGACCTCCAAACCGAGAGGAGAGTCGGCAAATTCGGTGCGGGCCGATTACCCGTTCGTTCTTCCCCTCACTCTGGATATAAATCAATAAATAAGAATACGCCCGAGGTCACAAGTGGGCTACCATGAAGACACACAAACGCACACGGAGACTGTTCGCTGCGTAAGCGGTTCACAATGCCGATGATTTATGATGAAGAGACTAAAAAAGCGGCAGTTGTTACCGATGTCATTCTCAAAAGGTCAAATGCTCGGGAGAACATCCGTGTCGCTCTTGTGCTCAAGCAAATAAAAGCGATGAGTGTAGGTTTCCGCCAAGGGAGAGGAAAGTCACTATATCAGAGCAGTGAGGGCGCAATTGTCCCATCAAACGACTTTTGTTTTGCTACTGACAGCTTCTCTCCAGTTACCTGCGACGGCTTGAGGCCGACAGCAAACGGTTACAGACCCTGCTGAAGAATGAATCTTCGAAAGAGCACAGAGTCGAAGCAGCCACCGAGCATGAACCAGATTCTCTCTCGCAAGAGGAACATGGCATTGTGAATCCGCTTTTCGAGACACAGAAAGAGTGGACCCGCGACAAGCAAACAGAACCAGGTTTCACAGGCGAGGCATCATGTATAGCATTCGGTGACCGACTGCTTCAGTGCACCAACATAGGTCCAACTCCTTCAAGTGCTACATTGTCTCAATATCTTTCGACAAAAACCGCGAACCATATATTGGATGACAACGAATACACGCTTCCAGACCGAGCCCAAGCCAAGCTATTAATCAAAGTTGCATGGCGCTTCATTGGTAACGATCATCATCTGTTCCTCAAGGTCTCGTTCGTGCGAGAGATTGAGGCTGTTTATCAGAAGGCTTCAAAGCCAACTGTTCTTTGGCTGTGCAAACTATGGACTCTTCTCGCCTTGGGTGAACTCTATACAAACCGCAGGAAGTTCAACGACACCCATATAATCCCCGGAACAAACTATTATCTCCAGGCCCTGAACATGCTCCACGACATATATGAAGAAGCAAGCTTGCTGCATGTCGAAGTTCTGATTTTGATTGTAAGTGCGTCGCGATCACTGAACGAGCGACGTATTGATCAATGGCAGGCATGGTACTCAAACAGCCTGGGGCGCATCCGGTCTGCTTATTCATACAGTGGCATTGCTATGAGGCTTGCATTGAGTCTTGGACTACATAGGTCAGGGTCCGCTCCAACAACGGCCAGTGCAGTCGAACTTGAGAGTCGAAGACGCACGTGGTGGATGCTTTACTACTTCGAACGAATGTCAGCCTCCAAGCTCGGGCTACCCATCACATTGCGGGATGAAGACATAGATGTGGAGCTGCCTTCCATGGACGGCCTCACAGAGGAGGAACAGCAGGAATTCGCAGACCCCGCTCATATGTGTGCCAATGTGAAACTAGCTCGTATCACGGGCAATATCTGTACGTCGGTCGGCCACTTCACTGCCTGAGAGATTCATGCTAACCAGACAGTGGCGGAAATATACTGCCTTCCGCGACGAGCCAACGGCATGTTCGTGCAAAGGGTCCACAGTATTTTAAAGCAACTTCGAGCATGGAACGACGCGCTCCCCCCAGAGCTCTGCGTGCGGGAATGTCGGACACCGCGACCCGTTGCCAGCCTGCACATGGCCTATAACGAGTGTATCATGCAGACGACACGTCCGATTCTTCTGCATCTGTTCCGAAGACGATGTCAGGGTGATGACAAGGATTTGTCTCCAGAATCGCCCACCCTTTCACCCATTACAGCTCTCCTGGCAGATAGCTGTGTAAACGCCGCGATAACATCCTGCCGAATCATGGAAGGCCTGTTCATCGAGGGATCCATCGCCACATTTGGCTACTGGGAGGCACAGCACATTTTTTCCTCTTCCTTGATTCTTATTATCTCCGCCCTTCTAAACCCAAGTGTGGCTACATCTGATCTCCTCCAAACGTCAATCAATATACTTCGGACCATACGGGACCATGGAAATATTCCTGCAGTGGACTACAGCGAGCGGCTCGCGTTAATACAGGCTGGCGTCTCTAGTGGAACCGGAGCATGGGACGCGAACTCTAGCTTAGGTAGAGACCAGCATACAGATCAAGTTCAGCAAGTGAGTCGGACAAGAAACCATGATCAACCTTCCAGCAGTGAGAAATTATCAGTGCCAAGCTCGGGAGGCCATAGTTTAGTAGCGGATTTTGGTATGAACTGTCCAGACACTCTTGCCCATCCTTTGATGGATACATTTCTAGATGAGAACCTATCTGCTTGGTCCAGTAGTATGTTTACGAATGACAATGCGTGGAGGAACCTAGCTACGGAGATGGAGGAGCACTTTCTATTCTAATATAATAATGTCTCTGTTTTTCTCCGTCTTTTGGTAGGAAATAGATGTGGCGGGTCGTGTATCCGGCAACCGAAAAATCGGCAATCTAGCCTGGATCGTATTCGAGATTCTCATATTTCTAACATGACACCCCTTCCATTAGACAAACCAAATCATAGAGGTTGACGTGGAGTGCCTCATCACGAGCATTAGTTGGTAAGGAAACTTCCGCAAACACCATTCAAACACACAAACCAGCCCCCTGACCAGCCAACTCAAAGACACTCTTCCCATCCAGCTCCACGGCATGATCCTCGCGCGACATTTCCGCCGCCAAAAACAACCAATTAACCGCATTCCCAACTGTCGTATGCTCATCCCTCAGCCCCCTCGGTCCCGGCAGTAGCGTGGGGCTCAGCTGGGAATCAGTCCAGAGCTCCACCAGGAGCCTGGAAATGATGTCCACATCGCCCTTCTCAAAGAAAAGGATATTACTAACACCCTTGGTAAAGGAAAACTAACTCATTTCCCTCTCAGTGATTATGGGTTTTCCTTTCTGGATAGCAGCCAGCAGCATGGCGGGAATACCTTCGCACATGGACAGTTCAATGACGACTTTTGCTTTGGTTAGAAGGGTATTCCAGGGCTGATCTGGCGGGCCGATTTGCATTACGTAGATGGATGGTCTGAGATGTGGCATGTCCACCTCAATGTGGGAGAGGATGGCATCATAGATGAGAGTGCTTTTGGAGCTGCGGGATGGTCCGTAATGGTATATGAGGAGTTTGGGGAAGGGAACGCTGATCCCTGCGTCCAAGCAGTGGATGCAGAATTTTTGGTAGGCGTGAAGGACTGTGAGGGTCTCGTCGAGGTTTCTGAATTGTGAGAGGTGGAGGATGTATTGCTCTGCAGGTGGTGTGGTATATGCATTAGTGAGATGTAATAACAGGATGGCGCGAACCGTAGAAAATCCACGACATACCCTCCGGATAGTTCAAAATCGGTGTCTCGAAGGATCGACACAGGGAGTTGAACTCGCGTCCATAAAATGTGATGTCAAAGTCTCTCATATTCTTACTAGATCCATCCAGTCTGCAGCACATTAGCATAAGACATCATCCCAGAAAGTGAGAGGCATACTGATCCACAGATACCGGGATATAGCCAACTTTCTTTTCCAGCATCATATCCGGTACCAGCTCTTTCGGGGCTTGAGATACCACAAGATCTACATGCCTAAGACGTTCCCGCAGGAAGTCCCACGATCGTGTCGATAAGTTCTTTGAATTCTGCAACACGCTCCGTTGAACTTGAACTCGATTTTCAAAAATGGCTGGTCGATTCGGATCGGCCTGCTTTGATAATAATGCTGCGGGTGTAAGAGACGCATCATCAATGATCACGATGTCAGCGCCACCCTTAGACCGAGCCTGCAGAGGATCATCTTCACACAGCCAGTATCTTCGAGCATTTTCATAGACCCATTGCAGAATACGTAGTTCATCATCAATTGTGAGGAAATCACCTGGTGCATTCAATCCTTCTAGGGAATCGTGCATCTTCCGGATAATGCAACTCATCCCTGGACGCGGCTTTGGGACATACCTAAGCCAAAAGTTTAAGCCAGTATCAAGTTTGCAATATGTAGAACGCTCCCTCACCATTTAGCATTGACCCCCAGGTAGTGTAAGAGAGCCTCACTAATGAATGCCTTGTATGGATATCTGGTCTCCCTTGCGAGGACAAGCTAAAGAATGCAATTTTCACATTCCGTTGCTTGAGTTCTTCTGCATAATGTTGAACGATGGACCATGTCTGAGCAGTCACCGTCGCCTGGTAATCTTCCAGATTGGCCAGCCGCACCCGAAAATTCCGATCAACCTCTACCAAGCTCCCAAGGCCTATATTTTCCTGCAGGACGTGGCCCACGCCGAAAGACCTGTGACTGATCAGGTGTGCCCTCATGGATCTGGGCCGGCCACGCATACATACCGCATACACTTCCTGACCATTGAGTCCGCCTGTTCATCGAATTCTTTGGTGCCCCATGACGAGAAGGTCGCCAATTCACCCAGGTCAGAATCCCTCCTGGCCCGTTCTTTGTGTTCCAGAACTAGAGGCAGAATATCCAGCTCCCTCCAGAGCTGAGAACAGAGGGACGGATACTTGTCAGCTAGGGACAGTGGTAAGGCCAAGCCTGTGATCTTTTCCGTGTGCTTCTCACTGTAGGCCCGCAGTTCGGAGACGATTCGATTGCAAAATGATATGGGCAGGTGTCTTGGAAGACTCGGCAGGCAGATTGAACACGACATAGTCGAATAGATACGCTGAATTTCGAAAGGCGATGGCGGCTCTGCTATCTCCGTAGTTGCGGTGCATAATGGAGATACCAGCGTAGATGGTCTACGGTATGGGATGGTTAGAAATTGTGGCAGGAATTGGGTTGCGGGATATCTTACGAGGAGATCTCTGCATACAGTCAACGACCGACCGGACCAGGATATCGCTGCATTGATATCATTGTCCCGTTTTCTCAGTTGCTGCAATTCGGGCATATTACTAGATTGAGATGAATTCAAGACGCTCTGGTGTATTAAGACTCCGATGCGCTATCCCTTGACAAGTTTCTGAGATATGTTGTAGGAATAACATCCTCCAAAGATATGCGGATCTATCGAGCTGTAAAGGCAATCCGGTGGTTCTCAGGAGATGGTGTGCCGCAAAGTTAGGGATCCAAGCTCCATGATCAACATGATCTCCCACCCTGACATCTGAACCATATTCGCATAGAATCTGACTTTGTCGTTTGGGTCTAGATGGAGTCAAAATGGCATGATCAAATCAGAGATGCTGTGCTACAGCCATGGCACCTTTACTTACACGGCATTTCTCCGAACCTTACCAACACACCACCCCGTGGGTTTCTGCCGGGTTGTATGTCACGATTACTTCTTGATAGCTTGGTTATATCTATGTACTGGTATATCAATCAAATCACCAACTCCTTCATGGAGAGGGATATCATGTGATGTCAGCCATTGACGTTCACATGCAATGACATCATCATCATCGGGTCCGGTTTTTGGAAATCAACAAGAAAAGGCGATATAAAGACTGAAATCCTCCCATCAATCTTTTAAATTCCCTTCATAAATCCCAAAGGCTATTGACAAAATGGAAGATCCAGGTACATCCAATCCCCTCCCCAAAAGCCCCTCAATACAATCCAAAACCTAACATCCAAATTAAAACCAGTCTCCGAAATCCCAACGGTAATCCAACACCTCACGCAATCGCCCCCGACGCAACAATCCCAGACCATCGACAAGTTCTTCACCCCAGATGCCTCCTTCGTCCACCCTTTCTGCCGGATCCAGCATTTCCGAGGCAGTCGCTGGGTCGTGAAGAAGATCTACCAATGGTATAAAGTGATGTCGCCGCGCATTGAAATGAAGATCCACTCTATTGGTTCGTTATTTCCCCAGCCATACAGAGATTCTGTCTCCCTAAATTAGAGAGACGACAGATGGGTGATGATTGGTACTAATGGGATGTAGCATATGATTCCGACAACCAAAAACTCTACGTGACAATGTCTCAGATCTTCACGATCTGGGTCGTTCCATTTCATGTTGCGCCTGTGACGCTTACGACGGTGTTATCGCTGACTACGAATCCGAATGGTTACTTATCTTCTTCCCATTCTGCCACCGCGTCCTCGGAAAAGTCACACGAGCCAAAAGAAGAAGAAGGAGCAAGCTACGCCGACGTCGTCGCCAACGGCAACCCAGATAGCAAAACGCCCCTTACCACCCACACAAACGGTCACCGCAAGCTCTACTATATCACCAAACAAGAGGATCTTTATCAAACATCAGAATTCATCAAGTTTGTCCTCCCACATATTGGGTACTGGATTGTATTGGCGATGCATGCGTTCGCGACGGTGTTCTGTGTGATGGGGGTCTTTCTGTTGTGGCCGCTTGTGTGGATGGAGGAGAAGGGCTGGATTCCTGGGTTGGTTTTGAGGGGTGGGAATATTGTATATGATATAGGGTGGAAGAAAAGAGCGATTGGGTCTGGGTCTTCTTAGGGGGGGTTCGATCAGGAGGGGTGGGGTTGTATATTTGTGGTTTAACAAGGCAGTGTATATATCTCATGTAACTGGCTATTGATAGATTGAACGGTGTTCATTGGAAAGGACATTGCATAGGCGCCAGCCTTCTCCTAAGGACTCTCGCTGCCTGGGACACGTCACCTTCTGGTGGATGGTCAATTCACCCCCAAGGCTGCCAACAGCCAACCAGTATTCCCAAGTGGGATTCACTGACTCAGGACCATAGATTCCCCGCTAGAGCAAAAGAAATGATGTGGCAGCTCTTTCAGCTCGGGTGGAGAGACTCGCCGCGGCTGTGTGAATTGCTGAACCCCAACCCGATTGATTGGGTGATCCTGAGAGAAAAGGCTGACAGTATTACGCCACAAGGGCATATTCCTGCTTCTCAGGTAGATTGGTGAATATATATGGTGCCCACCATGGCGTTCGATCATTTTTTTATTACAATACTGCAACTTGCTATGGAAATATTCGTGGATAATTGATGTTTTTGTGCTGGAACATCTGCGAGAGACTCCTCCATATACTACATTCTGCGACCGTGGTGTACGAGCCAGACATATCATAGAGCCATACTGTCCCACCATATCCCGGCACCTCCTCGCCATCTATGCTGGCATCCAACGAAGAACGTCCATCTCATACGGACTGAGATACATCCGGCCGTCTCTCGAAGTATACCAGACTCCGCTGTGTGATCAACAGAATGGGATCTGCAAAGTAACTATATCCATACTGAAACATGTCAGGCATGACGCTAATATACTGCACAAGGATTTGTTATCAGTTCGCCCGAACTGGGTCCTGCAAGTTCGAGAATTGTCGATATCCCCATGTGGCTGGTCCGTCAAAGCCTGCCAGCAAGGGAAGCAACTCGAGATCGAGTGCGCGAAAACAGCCCAGGAATGAAACCAACGACGTCAACGGCCTTGCCGCTTGGAAGCGAAAAGCCCCCAAGAGCCGATTGGCTATACGTCCACTGGGTGCGGAACTGGGCCAGTTCTTCGCAACGGCCAGAAAGCTGATAGAAGTTGACGACGACAACACAGCCCAAGAAGTGATCCAATGTCTCGCCCACGAAGGCGGCCTGCAACGAATCCAGGAACTCATTCAGCGTGACTATTCCCTGATGCCAAATGCCACCAAACGAGATGTGTTCCAAAGGCAGTTCCTCCCCTTTCTCGAGAGTATCACCCACCATAAGGTCCTCGCGTCGTTGGTGATGGAGGAGTTCGTGGTTAGAATCTACAACTGTATCTTCGGACCAGCTGGCCATCGTGCAGAGCCATTTCTGAATTATCTGGCCGATGTGGTGCAGCTGGACGTTGAGCTCCACGAAGATGCAACCTCGACTTACCTAGAACTATCGCTCCTCGTGTTTTGCAAGATTGTCGAGCTGAACTCGACTGCGTTCATCCTGGAGCCGTTGAGGCCGGTAGCGAGGCGGTTTTATGACCTCTTCATGATCCTTCATGCCTTGAAGACTGCTGGGTCACTAGACAGACCGCGGCATCACCTGGAAGTACTACAACGCCGTCTGGAGATCGGGGCTGCCCTACCACCTTTGCTGGAAGACTCAAAGCCTCTACAAGCCCATAAATCCCATGCAGCCTTTGTCACTCCTAAAGACCCGCCTGGCGGTCGCCACGACAACGATCATGCGGACATTTGCAGAATCCAAATTATGCCTACTTTCAAGGAAATAATGAGTCCGCGTTCGGAATATCTCCCTGGAAAAGACCCACACCAGTGGCATATTGGTGGTCTCGCCGGGCTCTTGGACCGAAATTTTCGGCTGTTGAGGGAGGACACCATCGGTCAGCTTCGAGACGTTATTCATGCTGAGCTGAGCCCCAGTCACTTGAGAGATGTGCGGAAGAGCCAAGTTAGGACAAATGTCTATCAGAACGTCCAGGTACGGGGTCTGGGTTTCGATCGTTTCATGGGATTACAATTTGTCGTCCAGTTTGCACAACCGTTGAATGTCAGGACCATGTCGGAAGCTCACCGCAGAGACTGGTGGGAGCTATCGAAAAGATTACAGTCCAGTGCCCTCGTCTGCCTCACGGATCCGCGAGGATTTGCCATCTTTTGCACCGTCGCCGGGCCAGAGCGGCCCAGAACGGATGCGAGGCAAGAACGACGGCAGAGGAAGGTCTCATCGCTGTGGAAGGAGGCGAATGTTGCATCTGTGACCATGGAGTTAGTGGAACCGACTGAGGAGAATCGGCAGTATATCCTAGATTGTTATAGGCCGCGCAACAGTGAACGCGCGTGCTCTCTAATTGAGTTTCCTGGGATTTTATTGCCATCATTCCAACCAACCTTAAAGGCACTTCAGTCAATGAAAAAAGCCGCAGACCTTCCGATGTCCGAATTCCTCGCTCCAGACGAGATGTTTAACGGCCAAGTGGATATGCCACCTCCCAAGCATGCGGCAGTGCCAGGGTTTAGCTTCAACCTACGCTGTCTTATGAACGACCGTTCGGATCTCCTAGTGAGCCCGTCGCAACCCCTTGACTTGAAGAAGCTCCAAGAGAAGTCTACTCTTGATAATGCCCAGGCACAGGCTCTTGTCCACACCCTTCAGCGAAAGATAGGGCTCATTCAAGGCCCACCAGGAACGGGCAAAAGCTTTACTGGAGTCGCTCTGATCAAGGTCCTACTAGCCAACAAGCCAAAAGTAAAACCACGACTTGGCCCCATCGTCTGTGTCTGCTACACAAATCACGCTCTCGATCAGCTTCTAGAAGGCCTGTTGGATGATAAAATCACGACCCAAATTATCCGTATCGGCTCACAATCCAAATCAGAAAGACTGCAGCCACTCAATCTCAGAACCGTAGTTCGACAGATTGACAAAACAAAACTGGAGAAGCAGGAGCAGTGGAAGCTGCAAGTGAACTTTGATGATTATGAAAACAGTTTTGACGCACTTAAACTCGATGCTATTGGCACCGATCAAAGCTTGGAGTTCCATCTAAAGCGAAACCATCCTCGCCAGTATAGTCAACTGTTCGACGAGGACAAGGATGGTTTTCGGAAGGTTTCTGATCGACGCCGTCAACACCTTCTACAGACGTGGCTCAAAACTGGTCCAGCAACTAAGGGCCAGCCGCGTGCAGTGGACCTCCTCCTTCAGCAGGTCCATGTAGACAACATGACGTCCAAGGAGCGCAAGGTTCTATACAAACATTGGATCAGAGAGAGTAGAGAGGAACTCCATACTCAAGTTCACTCGATCTTGGCGTCGCACCAGGAAAACAAAGCGTCCTATGATAAGATCCGAGACGAGCTAGATCTGCGATGCTTGCGCAATGCTGATGTGATAGGAGTCACAACGACCGGCTTAGCCCGCAATCTGAACATGCTGCGCAGACTGCAATCGAAGGTGATTATGTGCGAGGAGGCAGGCGAGGTCCTAGAAGCTCATCTGCTCACCTCGCTTTTACCATCGGCCGAGCATGTCATCCTGATCGGAGATCATCAGCAACTGCGGCCTCAGATCCAGAACTATGGGCTTTCTCGGGAGAGCAGGGCAGGACAACAATACTCTTTGGATCGCTCGCTATTCGAACGGCTTGTCAAACCGGACGATGACGTTGGCATAAGTCTTCCATTCTCTACACTGGAAATCCAACGACGAATGCATCCCTCAATCGCACAGCTGGTCCGAAGCACATTGTACCCTCGCTTACGAGACGCACCTTCAGTTAGCCTGTATCCCGAAGTTGCAGGGATGAGAAAGAGGCTTTTCTGGCTTGACCACCGACGGCCTGAAGGCAACTCTTCGGTCCAGGATGCCATGGCAACATCTCACTGGAATGATCATGAGATTGAAATGACGCTGGCTCTAGTAAGCCATCTGCTCCGCCAGGGAGAATACCAAGCAGGAGACATAGCTGTTCTGACTCCATATCTTGGCCAGCTTCACCGAATGAGGCGTAAACTAAGCCAAGCATTCACGATCACCCTAGGAGAAAGAGACCAGGACGACCTTGACAAGGCAGGGTTCGCGGAGGATGAAAGACCGACAACACCAAGCACAGTGTCCAGATCAACCCTCCTGCAGGCATTGAGAGTCGCAACTATAGACAATTTCCAGGGTGAGGAGGCAAAGGTGGTGGTGATCTCTTTGGTGAGAAGCAACGCTCAAAATCGATGTGGCTTCCTCCGCACACCGAATCGCATCAATGTTTTGCTTTCACGGGCACGCCATGGAATGTATATTATCGGCAACTCGGAAACCTCAAGGGGTGTGGACATGTGGCATAAGGTTCTTAACATCCTCGAAGAACATGATAATTTTGGCACAAGCTTAGAGCTCAGATGCCCCCGTCACCCTTCTACTCCTATCGTGGTATCACAGCCGAACGACTTCGTACAATTTTCGCCTGAGGGAGGTTGCAGTTTGCAATGCGGCAAGCGTTTACAGTGTGGTCACCCGTGCAAGCAAAAATGCCACTCAGAGATACTTCATCAGACGGTCTATTGCCCAGAGACATGCCCGCGTCCACAGAAAGGATGTTCCCACCCCTGTCCCAGACTGTGTGGTGACCCTTGTCCCAAGAGATGCGGCATCATGGTATTTGATGCAGGCCGAGTCCTACCTTGTGGCCACTCAATGGCCAGTCTTCCTTGCTGGCAAGCACAGGATCTCAGCCTGGTTAAATGTCCAACATTCGTTAAGAAGCATGTTCCTCGTTGCAACCACGAAGTAACCATCGCCTGTCACCTCGATGTAAACAAACCTGAGTACAAATGCACGCGCCAGTGTCTTGCTGCTTTATCCTGTGGTCACAACTGTAAGCGACAATGCAGTCAATGTACAATTCAGACAAATGAGGGCGTCAAGGTAGATCATGAGCAATGCAAGCAAAGGTGTGGCCGTTTGTATTCCACATGTGCCCATTCCTGCGCTGCAGAATGCCACGGGGACACTCCGTGTCCGCCATGTACGGCGCCCTGTGACGTCCAGTGTGGTCACTCCAGATGTTCTAAGACATGTTCCGAGCCATGTGCCCCTTGCGCAGTATCAAAATGTCTGTCTGCATGTCCACATAGCGCCTGTTCCATGCCTTGCGCCGCGCCGTGTGATCACATTCCATGCTCTCGCCGATGTGGGAAACTTCTACCGTGCAGCCATCAATGCCCATCCTTATGTGGTGAACCTTGTCCAGCAGAGAAATTCTGCCAAACATGTGCGACCGACGAAATTAAGGATATGTCTGTAGACTTCATCTTGGGTCAGACATACAAAGAGATTGACCTGGAGGAAAATCCTTGCATATTTCCCCCATGTGGACATTTTCTGACCGTGGAAAACATGGATGCCCAAATGGACCTTCGGAAACACTATGTGCTTGATGAAATGGGAAAGCCGTTGTCGATTTCCAAATCATCAGAGCCGTTCTCCATCTCGGACGTTCCGAACTGTGTCACCTGTCGAGGTTCCCTAAGAAGTATATCCCGATATGGGAGACTGGTGAGGCGTGCCTTGTTAGACGAAGCGACGAAGAAATTTATTCTATATTTAAATCAGAAGTACGTACCTATGGCTCAAGAGCTTGCCCAATTGGTGGCTCAGCTGCCAGACCACGAAGGGGCAGCGGCAGCAAAAGCATTCCAAAATGACCTTACTCTAAGGGTTCAAGGGCCACCTGACCACCAAATCCGATTGATGCACCAGCATCTCAGGAAGTATGATTCGACAAGATGGAAATATATGATCCTCCTGCGCCATCAGGTTACAGAGTACTACAAGAAAGTCAAGGTGGAGGAGCAGCCCTTCAATCAAGTACGCAACATGGTGGAAGATGCCCGTCGTCGAAAACGAAAAACTGGGCAATTCGAATTCGACGAGACTGTGCTCCAGACAAAAGGCTGCATTCAAGCCGCTTCGCTGTTACTTCGCCTCGATACAGCGTTGATTGGAGACTTCCTCTCTTTGTATAATCAAACTCCTGGCGGGTCCGACAAATGCGTTCTCCGCCTTGACCTCCAGGAAAACCGAAAGGAGGCAGAAAAGCTGACGGCCATGGCTGTCAACTCACAGCGCGTATTGCAACAGGTCGAGGGCTACCTTTTCGGCGCTCAGCTGTGTGCCCTAGAGCGCCAAAGCAGCGATCAGCCAACTCGGGCAGAGGATCTTCTGAATGAGGGTAACGAGTGCATTGAACAAGCTCAAAAGCTGTGTACGGCCCACCCTGGTCAGGTACATGGACTTGCAGACGAAATCGAGGGTACATTGAAGATGCTCCGCGGCGGTACTTTTTACACGCCCGTGACCAGTGAAGAGAGAATGGCTGTTGTGGCTGCCATGGCACGGGAATTCAGGGGAACTGGACACTGGTATCGTTGCGTGAACGGCCATTTTTTCACCATCGGAGAATGCGGTGGCGCTATGCAAATCTCCACCTGCTCGGGATGTGGTGCACAGATAGGTGGCCAAGGCCATCAAACAGTCGCTGGAGTGACCCCGGCCGCTGATTTGGAAGAGAATTTGGCCCGGCTAATAATTTGAAACTATGCGAACCGAGAGATACGGTGGGGGTTCAGTTTGGTGGCTTTGTCTCATAAGGTGAAGTAGAAGCAAAAGGGGATTCATTCTTCACATCTTGTGAGGGGCGAAGAAGTTGGAAGATTAGCACGGTAGACAATGTAATCACGCAAAGAGGCGTTTCATCAGCATGATCCAAACGGCGCTTTTGCAGTGTAGAGACTGCCGCGAAGAAGCATCGCAATACATACAATCAATATTTACATTTCTATCTGTTTATAGGGGTATCTCCAGAATCATATAAGCTCAATGCCACTGGTAGTCCAAGGCTATTCAAGCAAGCTCACCCGTACACCATCCATACCCATCGTCCCTGCAATGTGATCCATCCAGTCTGTCGTGGGTGGCTTTCTGTATGAGGGAGTGATCAAAGACTCCACTACTAGCTGCGGCGGGTGTGGAGAGTCTGGTGGTGTTAAAGGACGTACTACAGAGTCTTCACAGCTGGCCAGACTCGAACATCGTTCGCCCGAAAGAAGCTGGCATTCTAACTCGAGCGAAGCTCGCTGTGTCGGATCTGTGGCGATGACCAGCTGGTTGAGGATCAGCAGGCCGGAGCGAACACCACTCGCGAAAAGCGTGGAGTAACCGTCGAGGAAGAAATTTGGAGACGGGCCGATGAAGCCCTGTCGAGCACCTTGACCAGCACGGCGCATCGACACCGAGATACCAAACTCCGTGTTGATCCCTCGAAGCGCCGCACGGGCGGCCTGGACACTACGCAAGACGCCCGGCTGGCGCCTGGCCCTTTCCTCCGATGAAAGAGAAAGCAACTTGCGCACCTGCTTTACATGCCCGGGTATCTTCAGGATCTCCAGGAAGCCGCGTTCCACAACATCCGTATACAAGGATGAATCGGGTAGCTTGGCGTTGTTCGCCGCAATTTCTTCATTGAGGGCCTGCCACTCAGGCTCCTGCAGAAAGCATTCTTCCCCGGACACCAAGGCCTCTGTGACTAAGAAGCTTCGATAAGCGACATACATGGCACAACCGAACCCATGAAGATGAGCGGACGGGCCACGGAGCTTCATCAGCGTCCGGACCCCTGACGCATGTTTAAGCCACGAGTTTGCATCGGTACAGTGGTGTTTCTCATAAACCGCCAGGGTAATAGCCGTCGCCAAGGCCTCGTCCGATTTGGCCGTTGAGATGTGGGACAACAACCCGCCAAGGCTCCGCAAGGCCTGAATATACATCACCCGAGCTTCTTTCAGCAGTCGCTGATCATTGTGCACAGCGCCCGCATAGGAGGTAGTGCAAGCGCGAAGAGCCCAATCGAAACACGAATTAGTCCCTCTCCGATTTTCGACATATTCCACCCAATTGACCGGCACTTGTGTTTCGGTGCACTTGAAATAACAAGGGAAAGCTGATAGGACGAAGTTGGTAAATACTTGGGTTTGTAGGGATGAGACAGCGGTAACGGATAGCGAATGCGACACCGTCTCATTATTCGGAAAGGCAACTGGCAGATATCGGACATTGGACCGGGTCGACCGTGAAGGAGGACCACCTTCGCGATCCGAGACCGGTGAGAGGTGCGAGGGCTGCGATGTCGACTGATATTTCTGTCGCAGGGCCGGGCCTTGATCGCGAAACTCGATCGCTCGGATCTGGCGCAGACAGGGTGTGTTCAGGCTTTTGCATCGTGCGCAAGGGGTCCTGCCATCGCACTGTAGCGGGGCGTTAGCGTTATCATCGGCAATACCAAGGTATCGGGCATCATTGGCTGGTGTCCAGAAACAAGGCAATGAATTAATGCCGGGCTCCACTTCTCTGCAAGGGCCATGATCTAGGTCGAAACGATAGATCGGAATCTCGGCATCTGTGTTGAGTTTTGGGGGCAGTGGGAACGTGGAAGAGGGCCAACGGGGTGCGGTGGTGTAACGAATGCAGTCTCAACACAGCCCTCGTAGAAAAATTTGATTGGTGCGGAAAAAGCTTGCTCTTTGTAAATCGCACTTAGGCAGCATGAAATGTTCAAGGGAGGGGAAACAAGCATTGGTAGGAAAAGGCTACACGGACCTTAAGGCGGGCGTCAATGCAGCCACGACAACCGCGTGGCACTCGAACCATTGGCGCAGGAACACAGAAGAGCGCCTTCCTCCTCGTATCCGGACCCGTTCGGCATGGAGCAAAGCGTTAGTCTCTAACGACTGACGCAGTAATTTCTCTCAGAATGGAGTCATCGGCTGGGGGTTTAGAGAGAGCAGCAATGTGAAAGGGTGGAGTTGACATGGTGGGCCGGGTAAGAGCCACCAAAACGGATCCAGCCGTACCGAGACTTCTTAATACGTAGTCGACTACGGAGGACTCCGTACTACTAGTACGACTAATATAGTAGTTCTACCTACTCAGGAAGTATTGCGTCTGTAGTAACACACATTAGAGACTAGTTAATTGTGGACACCTCAGGTATCCACGGTCTTGAAGGTAGGCACAATGTACATATATATATCTCTCTCTGTATGTATACTGAATCTCTGTACACAGTAGGTTCGGAAAAATTTCAACTCTAAAAACTGCATTGCAAAAGACTCAATCATGCAAATGCGTGCAAAACATTCCAACATGAGAGGCAGAAACACAAATCAACCATATCGTGCTTTCTTTTCTACAAACCGAAAAGACATGAATTTGTCAATCAAAGCCGATGGTGTCAACGAGACGAAACGTTGCCTGTGGTTTTGCATGATAAGGGCCCCCGAAAGATGAGGCCAGAATTTAGCACATTCCATCTGGACGGGGAGAAAGAGTAGAGGAGAAGCGGTCCGACCAGGATGCCACCAATACGGGGCACTGGGTCGACAAGCACAGGGGCAGGCAGTAATGGGAATCCTAGACGCAAAAAGAAACAAAAAAGGTAATAAACACAAGACAGAAATGGTTACGTTGAGATAAAAAAAAAAGAAGAAGAAGAAGAAACCAAGAATCCCGACCACGCCGGATTCGCCGAGAGAGAAAAGTAGAAAAAGGTTGAGAGGTCATGGGAGAAGAAACATACAGGTGCGACCACCACCCATTCATACCAGTCCATCATACAAAGACAGGGCGCTCACGATCGTCTCGTCGCGCTTGCTACCCTCCTTGAACTCCTCCATGTCAAGGCTGCCATTCTCATCTTTGTCCATCATACGGAAAATCTTGCGAACTCGTTTCTCGGGCGTGTCCTCATCTTCGGGAAGTTTCACCATCGAGCCGACCTAGTCATCCATCAGCCCTCGGTCACAGCATCCACTCGGAGCTAGCGGTTGACATACCATCTTATAGATTGCCTCCACGATGGCGAGCATTTCGTCATACGTGATCTTACCATCGCCATCAATGTCATACAGTTGAAACGCCCAATCCAACTTATCCTCCATCTTGCCCCGGGATGTGACCGACAATGCACAGATAAACTCCTTGAAATCGATCATCCCGCTATTATCCGAATCGAAGACACGGAACACATAATTGGCGAATGATGACGGATCGCCAAAAGGGAAGAACTGTCGGTAGATCTTTTGGAACTCCTCCTTGGTCAAGGTCCCCGAGGGGCAGTCCTTCAAAAACCCTACACCGAAAAGCCTCGGTCAGCCCAAATACCTCTTGACATAGAGTGAAGCACGTGTCAGCGCACCTTTATACCATTGTTGCAGTTCCTTTTTATCAAAATGGGTAGCCTTCTGGAGCTCATCGAGCTGGGTGGGGGAAAGCTTCGACTGACTGTCCGGTCATCGGTGTTAGCGCACATGGACCAGCCAGTGAGGGAACTCACGGCATCGCAGAGAGGGACGGAAGCGAGCCGGACAAACCAAATGCGACGACAAGCGAGACAATTCAATCCTCACCCTCAGTAAGGATAGAACAGGGCCTGCGCATGGCATCCCGCTCTGGATGTGTATTCTCATGTCCGTGAAGAGTACGCAAAACGGGGAAGCACGCGCACTTACGATTTACCCATGGTCACAACACGCGCTGTAAGACCGCTCCAAATTTATGGTAAATGATCACCTAGAACCTTTTATAGAAATCTTGATTTCACAGGCGGTTCCGATCTATTATTCGCTGAGGAGGGGAGTGCAAGATGCAGCTGCGGAAGATCGCGGGGTAAACGAGGTTTGGGCCGATAAGATCGTGCGCCCCCGTGGTCGGAGAGAGCTCGTTTCACTATATTGAAGGCTGGATGAATGAAGGAGGCAGACCAGACCAAGACAGAATCAAACCACGAGAGATTTAACGTAGACCAGGGAACCAGGAACGATTTGAATTTCCGGTCGGCGAGATTTGGAAATGGGAAAATAGAAACCGGGGGGAAAGAAGACTGCGTAGTGGCGTTCAACATCGGGGAGCCGCGGGTCCAGACCTTTGACCGCCAAGGGGGGAAGACGCACGACAGCTGACGCACTAGGGATCCACGTCGTAGCTTGGTCAAGTTACTATATGCCACTCCAGGATATCTCTACTTGGTACCGTGTTCAATGGCTTTGCTCATATATCATACAATACGTTTCGGTTCACCTTGTTTGTGCACATGAATGTATCAAATCCCACCCGCTCCACTAGCGCCAAACAATCTTCCAAGCATGGAAACAGCATTCTCGTATACTCTATGTACAGGTCGTGGACAATGCATCGGATGGGGTTAGCAAAGGAAATACGAATTCGCGCAAGCTATACAGGGGATATCGGAACAAGACTGGGAAAGAAAAGAGCCTCCATCACTCTAAATGGCGCGGAGGTAAAGAGGAGAGGCCGCCAAGCGCGGTGTCTGGTCAATTGAGGAGATACAGCGGTAAGACACTTAGTCAACCTTGATGGAGCCATAGATGCGCTGTACGAATGCCCAACTTGCGAAAAAGCCGATCGAGCCTGTGGATGAATTAGTTGGCGGCGGTGGAACCGATATGGAAAGACAGCTCAGAACTTACCAGTCAAGATGAAAACAACAAAGCCAATCAGCGCGGAGTAGCCGACATAGAGCACCGCACCCGTAAAACCACCAAAGCTCACTCGGGTTGCCCAGAAAAGCAGTGCGTTGAGGAAGACATAACCACCAGTCATTCCGGCGCCAGCGAATGCCCTCCACTGCCATCGGTAATTCTCTGCGCACAGCAGGAAGTATACCAAAAGCACCGTCGTAGCCGCAGTTGTGATGATCATCAGCCCGTAGCAGAGGAACAGGAAACCGAACATGTAGTAGATCTTGTTGGTCCAAAGCGACGTCATAATAAAGTATAGCTCCACAAAGATCGCTCCGAACGGAAGAATACCTGTTAGCAGCAACGAAGGGATGGTCCGAAGACTGCCAGTCATGGGAGGGACCTGGCGGGGTATCTGATTCGTCTTCGTGGGCCCTTCCACAGCCTAGAAAAAGGGTCAGCACACGCCCCAGTCCAGTATATCATAAACATCACAAGCGGGGCAAACATACACGCTGCTTGAATCCAAGCCAGCTACCCGCAACACTCAACGGTACGCTGATGACAAACCAAATCGCAACGAGAGCTAGCATAGTACCAAAGGGCACAGCCCCGCTGGAGCCTTTCGCCCATACGAACAGATTAAGCAAGAAGAAGGTGCTAAAAATAAAACCGGGAACAAGCACGGGGGTCATGACAATATTGCGCTTCCAAGCTTCTCCGCCGAAAGATTTGTATACTCGGGCGGACACGTAACCACCAATAAACCCAAACAGTGTGTAGATGAGAAGGGTGGCTGTGGCTAAGAAACCACGGTTGGCTGGGGATAGAAGGCCAAAGAGAGCGACAACTAGACAAGCCGCATTAGTATGAATACTCGTCATCTCCACTGAAGACGACAAAAAACTTACGAACTGTGGCGCCCGTCATCATGAAAAGCTGTGCACCGTTTCCAACAAGTACACTCAACAACAAAGGAGATTTCGGGCATCGGAAGACATCCCCATGTACTAACTTCCAGCCAGAATCCTCTTGGATACCATCTTCCACAGCGGCCGACGTTCCATCCAAATCCTCTAGGTTAATCATGTCCAGCCGATTATACCGGGCAATATCCTTCCGGAGAGCCCTAATTAGAATCATGCTCACCATGCCGACCAGGAAGACCACGAACACTGCGGAGTTTATCAGGGAAAACCAATGGATTTTCGGATCGTAGACATGCAGATACTTATCCCAGCGGGTAGCCCAGGGTGTAGATGATTCACGCCAGTACACGCTGTATGTCCAAGTGACGCCAGTCTCACTATCCTCATCCAGAATAACCGGGACGTCGCTGGATCCGCAGTCCACGCTCCCATCTCCCTGAACCTTGGAATTCCCACGGGAGTCGGGCTGAACGAGCACACCGACAACCCGATACTTGTCCTTGGCTCCGTACCCTACTGCATGGTACTCAATAAAGATATCAAAGTGGTTGTTCAAGACCGCCTGCCCATTATCGTTCAATGATCCTAGTGCAAAGCCCGGGTTATAGAATTTGGCCTCGGTGACAGATTCCACATTGATTTGGGCGCCGGGGAGTCCATCCACAAGCCAATTGAAGTTGTATCCTTGTACAATCCTCCGATTAGTAAATTTGGCGCTACGGGAATCGAATTTGGCCTCCTCCTTGCAGACAGCCTTGCATGTTTCGTTCTTGCCCATAAAGAGCTCGAAGGGTGACGATTGAATTCGATCCCCGAACAAAATGCTCCCTAGCGATTCGCGTATATATTTGGGTCCATCTTCTGGGGCGCAGAAGTGAAAGGCGGGGTGATAGTAGTCGTATGAAAACACGGAATGAAGTTGCTCGTCCTGTTGCGCAAGCCCTGGGGTGAGATGGTTGACATACAGCGGCACCGATTGTCCTTCGTCGTACGAGGTGGGTGCTACACCCGGTAAGTAGAATGCTGTTGTGAAAGAGGGTGCCGCAAGAAGAAGGGAATATAGGGAAAATGTTCGTTTGCTGAACGCCATTGTGGGCGTTTCTGTACAATAACAAAGCGTAAGATTAGCTCGCCCGTCGCTCTGGGATACTATGTTGTACTAAGAATGCATTCGAGTGACATACAAGTCTACAGTTGCCACTCCAGGGAAGGTATTTCAGTGGCTCATTGGGCGGGTACTGCGATGGTTGGCGTACCAAGGGAAAACCGCTACCTCGAGGTAGGTCAAGCGTTGAGCTAAACGGAGATTAGATTGATGGAGCAAAACCGACGGCTGCGACGGATACGATGAGGCCAGCTATCGGTCTTGGCACACGTGATGGGTCCCTCGAGGTGACTATCGGCACGTGTTGATAAGACATCCAAAAATTTCCCTTCGGTGTGAAGATCGCAAGTGGAAACGAAACAGAGCCACCCATCACATCGCAATGGCGACCGCTACGCAACAGCCGGAAAATTCCGGTCTGCAAAATATTTCTGCCTTATTGGAAACTATTACTGGCTGTCTCACCACTGCCGGATCATCCCTCCCCAAGGACAAGCGAGATACACCCTCGGAGGTGTCAATCGAACCTCCGCAAGATGGTATATCGCTGCTAGATACCAAGAGCGACTTGCTTCTCTCCTATATACACAATCTCGTTTTTCTGGTGCTGTTTCAATTGCGTGGACTATCAAAAGATCGTGATAGCGATGCTGAAGCAGATCAGTCCCTGCGAGAGGAGACCGTCAAAAAGCTCGCAGAATTACGGGTTTACCTGGACCGCGGTGTGAGGCCTTTAGAGGGACGACTTAAGTATCAAATAGACAAAGTGGTTAAGGCCGCTGAGGATGCGGAAAGAGCCGAACGCACCGCTGCGAAGACCAAGGCAACCCAAGCAGAAGATTCTGGCAGCGACAATGAGTCGGCATCGGAGGACTCAAGCGATGGTGAAGGGGATAGCGCGGAAGGAAGTGATGATGATCAGGAAGATATCGATGAGATGGCATACCGGCCCAATATCTCAGCCTTTGCGAAGAAAGTCGAACCGGAAGCGCGGGCAGAGAAGTCTACCAAGAATGCGCCCAGCGATGGCATCTATCGCCCACCGAAGATCATGCCGACAGCTCTTCCCACTACCGAAACCAGAGAACGTCGGGAACGTGGTCCACGCCGGTCGACCGTTATCGATGAGTTCGTCAATGCGGAGATGTCGTCCGCACCGATGGCGGAGCCTAGCATTGGCAGTACAATCGTGCACGGTGGCAGGCACACCAAATCGAAGAAGGAAAGGGAACATGAAGCAGAACGAACAACCTATGAAGAAACCAACTTTATCCGATTGGCAAAGGAGAGCAAAAAGGACCGAGCCAAAAGAGGTGGCCAGGCCAAGGGCACTTATGGAGGTGAAGAATGGAGAGGCCTTACTGAAGGTGCAGACCGTATTTCAAGGCTTACACGCAGGGCTAAGGGAAGCGGTGGCGCGCTGGATAGGAGTCGGAAACGCAAGCACGGCGACGACGGGCCGCGCGGGGATGGTGCAGCTGTGGGTCAAATATTTGAGAAGCGCCGGAAGAAGATCGAGGGTTGGAAACGGTAGCTGCATTTATTTTCCTCGTTCTTTGGAATGAACGCATCTGTAACTATTTATTCTGATACCATTGGAGAAGCTTCCACAATTTATGTCTTTGTACGGCTGGGGCGTGTGTTTCATCAATTAGCCATGCACAGAGACTTCAAGGAGTAGAATAAGTACCACCTAGTAGCCAGATATGCTTGCCCGACAGGTAAGATAGCAGTGAGCAGCATATAGTAGAACTAATCAGGACATGTCTACCTAACTCGGTACAGAGAGACCACGTAATGAATTGTAACTTGCTGACTGCAGACTAACAATCAAGCTGCACATCAGCGGACAGTGAGTGTATATGGCCGGTCTCCTGCAGTAGAAGATCGTTTTGTATTGTATACTCTATTCCACCGTCCTTCACAACTACTCTGCCGGAATGCGTTCTATCATCATGTACAAGGGTATCGGCGAGACCCAGAGGCCTCTCGTGACACATGCTGGGTGCTCATTCTAATGTACCAAGGGCTCAAACGGGGAAAGACGAAGAGACAAGAGGACAAGAAAAAGAAACGAGAAAAAGGAAAACATAAGGCAGTAGGGAGCTTCATTCACACAACATGCTCGGCACAGATCGCACGAGAAGACATGAAAATGGGATATCGGCGTGTCAAGAATGTTCTTCAAATATCTTCGGCGAAAGGATAAAATAAACAACAAAAGAGAAATCGTGGATCATCGTCTATCAAAGAACCAGCTGGTGCGCTTTCCCGTCTCCTGGGACTGGACTCCGGCAACCGGAGCACTGCTCTCGGATCCTCCGCCGCCGCCACGGAGCGGCTTCGCGATTCTCGAGCCGCCAAAACTAAAACTGCCGCCGCTATCCATACTCGGAAGACCCCTGGTAGAGCCCTGCTTCGCAGCCTCGAGTCTCTCTTTGACAGCAGTAAGTTGAGCTTCAAAACTGTTGGGACGATTGCGATTAGTCACGGTGGCAACCAGAAGGCAAATGAGATAAGTCCATACCGATGATTAGCCTGTGTGAGTTTCTCCTGGCTCTCCTGGAGCAGGCTCTCCAAGCTTGCGATGCGCTCATTTCGGGCGATCAGTTTCCTCTCTGCAATAGCAACCTCCTTCTTCAAGCTGCTGTTCTGTTCTACCAGCTGCCGCTGTACATGGGTCAATTGCTCAAGGTTGCGCTCCAAGAATGCCATCTTCTTCTGCTGGGCGCGGTTGTTCGAAGAGCGCAACACGTTGTTGTATTGCTCGCGGGCGTCGTCCAGAGAAATCTCCAGTTCCACGACACGCTCACAGCGATTCTGCAGATCTCGCATGAGAGACTTCTTCATGGCATCAAATTCAGCAATCTGCTGCTGCAGGTTCTTGCCCGCAGCCCCATTTGTTGACACGCGAGTTTGCGAGTCGGCAAGAGACTGACGCAGCTTGCTGAGTTCCTCATCCTTACGCGCAATCTCCTTGCGAAGTTCCGAGGCTGCCTGCATTTCGGCGTCTTTCCGGGTGACATATACCTTTTCTAGTCTCTCCCGGATCTCCTCCACATCCTCCTCTCCAAGGTTGCGTTCTAGAAGCTTCTCATAATCCTGCTCGAGGTCTGCGAGTTTCTGCTCAACTTCTACTCTGCGGCTGTCCTGCAGCTCACTCAGCTCGCCCCGGTCATTCATGGTCAACTCCGCCTGCCGGATAAAACCCTGGGTCTCCGCCAAACTCGTGCGAAGCTCCAGGAGGTCGTCCGGTGCAATGGTTTCGCCCGCTTCGCTAACCTGGTGCAATGCATCAACACGGTTGATGAGATCCTGAAGTTTGCGCTCGTTATCGGAGAAGACATTGCCTCCGAGGTCAAATCCGGCCATCATCTTCGCCATCTTCTCCGCCTTTTTCTTCTCCTTCTCGTCTAGTGCAGCACTGGTCTCCTTCGCCTTCATTCGCACGTCGAGAAGTTGCTGCTTGACATCATCCAATTCGGTCGTTAACTCCGAATTGGCCTCCCGAAGACCGTCCATAGTAATGGCAGCTTCCTTGCTTTCATACGATACCTTCTCCAGCTGCATCCGGAGCTCGTTGACTTCGGTGTTCAACTTCTCGTTGTCCTTACCCGAGCGTGCCGAGTTCTCCTTCAATGCCCGGAGCTCCTCCCGTGCCTCGCGCAAACCCCTTTCGACATTGGCAATATGCGATTCCTTTTCAGCGATCTGATCCTGCAGCTCATTCTCGCGCCTGAGGAACTCCTCCCTCTCATCTTTCTCAAGTACAAGACTAGGGGTGCTCGAGCGATCGCCAACTCTCGAGTCAGGACGAGGGGTTTCCGATCGAGCCTCTTGAAGGCGAGACGGGGTGCTAGGGCGCGGTCGAGCTTCGGCCTTCGTCGCACTGACAACATCATTTCTGCCGGGCGTCCATCGGTCCTTGGGAACACTTTCACCACTCCGCCATACATGGACTTCTGTCTCCAGTGCCGATATGTAGCTCTCGAAATTGATCACCTGGCTCTGCGCTTTACGTAGCAGCTGCTTCAATTCAGCGGGGCTCAGTTCGGCATTAACCTTCGCCTTGTTCTTGATTGCCTTGGCTCGCACACCGAATCGCAAGGTCGAAATGGTTTCCGCATCGTTATAGCTACTGGGAGAGCAGTTGATAATTAAAGTGGTTCTTGAGTTACCTCCCAAACTCTCCTGCAGGATTCGGGTGAGTTTTGAGTCACGATACGGGATATGGGTGGATTTGCCATCCGTCAGCGCATTAATGACCATACCAAGAGCACTGAGACTCTTGTTGATTTTCTTCGCCTCCTCGAGTGTCTGACCACTGGCACCCGTCTTCCCAACTTTTTCACTACCAGCCAAATCGACCAGGAATAGTTGACCGCTCTTTGCAGAACCAGTCTCGAGGTTCTTCTGCGTAACCGTGATGACGAAGATGGAATGGGAACGAGACGACTCCTGGTTCATGTTGGTCGCAGCAACTGCTCGTGCCGTGCCACCACGACGCATCACCTCGTACACCTCCTGTACACTAGAAACATAGACTTCTAGCAGGCCCTTGACGTAAACCCCTCTGGACTTTTCCTCGTGTACGGGAAGGTTATCGTTTTGTGGCACCAACAGATCGCGGATACGCTCCATATAAATTTCCATGTAACTGACGCGCACCGTATACTCGATATTACTCGGACTAGTAAGGATGCTGGCGAAGATCTGTTCGACAATACGGGGGATGATACCTTTGCCGATGTCGTCGTCGATATCGGATCCCATCATCGTATATGACTTACCCGCACCAGTCTGACCATAGGCAAAAACCGTTCCGTTATATCCATTCAATATATCGTCGACTGTGGGTCGGATAGAAAAATCGAAGATGTCCGTTTGCTTCGAGTCCATGGGAAAGACTCGGTCGAAAGTGAAGGAGCCGGTACCTTCTCTGGACTGTACATCGGTTAGATATTCCAAACTGACACCCAGAAGAAGGATCCTAAAGGAGGAATTATCGGTCGAAACCACGCACATTGATCTGACATGATTGCTCATTTTCGAAATCTACAATGGGTTCTCCTCCAGAGGACAATTCAACTTTATTTTGCGGTCGGAACCTCGCAACCACTACGGAGAACTGGTCAGTAACACCACTCGCGAAACAGAATCATTAGTCTCCAGGAGGATATGCGCACCCTTGATGGAGGTGTTGGAGGAGTTAGGGCCAGATGACCTGCATGCCAGACATTAAAGTGTCAGTCTCCGCCGCTTTGGGCGTTGAAGCGGTGAATCAACAAAACTCACGCCATGTTCACTCTGACCCAGAAACCCGGCGACAGCTTCTAGGGGAACAGGGTAAAACTAAGGAGACGAGAAATAAAGCCCCGCGGAGAGGGGGAAGTATCGGAAACGTCGTTCAGATCAGTTGCACGAGAAGATGGTATCTTCAGGTACGGTGGGCGATTTGTTGTTTGGGTCAGGGGTCCACGTGCACGACACACTTGCGTGGGGAGCAATTTGGTGAGGGGACTCGTGATCTCCTCAAGCCCCCAGAGGCAAAGAAAAAGAAGGAAAAAAAAAAAATTAGTCAAGACCCGTCTTAGTCGGAAGGACAATATACTACCACAGCGACAGGACTTGTTAGGTCGACGTGAAAGAAATAAAGAGACGTGGGATCTCGTTTCTTGTGTTTCATCGGAGGAGTAAAGTTGTCAAGGAAATCATAATAATACTAAATAATAATGCTTCGACACGAGCCGTTAGTCTCCTTCTTGGCATCGGCTGAAAACTATCTTGTCGCTTGTCCCGCAGTTACTAGTCGATTTATAGCAGTGGAATTCGTTATGCGATTTTCTTTATAAGGCCCCTCTTAATTTTCACTGATAAAATGTGAACGGCATTCATAATAATAAACTCGAGAGGCGAAAGCAAACCACACTCTCAGCCAAGTCAAAGTGACGCAGAACGGCAAGGGGAAAGAGTAATCAGTGATAGAAGCCAAGGCATAATTGAGGCAGAAAACATCCTAAGCTAATGCATTATGCACCTCGCAACTGAAACATATGCGATTATCCACAAAAAGAGACCAAAGGGAGAATATGTACCAGGCGCCCAAACCCCGCGCTGTGCATGTCATCAAACGGCGTGTGAATCCTCCAAGGACAAGTCATGCCAACGGCGTGTCCGCCGCCATCGACAGTGTGCTGTCACCTTTTGACATGAGCAGACAATATTTGTTTCGTCATAAACGCCCACAGATAAATCATACCGAGAGAAGGGAATATAAAAAAATAAAGAAAAATAGCCAATATCACATGTAGGGTCCCCTAGTCTTCCCAGCTTTTCTCGACAGTCTCACGCACACGCTTGATGTACTCCTTCCGGTTGTCTTTGTAGAGATTAGATGCCTCGACATTGGCAGGTGATGATGTGTTTGGGTCATTAAGCAGACTGCAGAAAGGCGGAAATCGATTAGAGCCAATCGCTCACCGTCACTGGTGGCCAGAGAACGTACCTTTGAATACTGGTGAGAATGGCCGCCACGTCATACGTTGGGCTCCAACGATTTTGCAGAATATCCAGGCACAGCTCGCCCGTACCGTATACATTCGGATGGAACATCTGGCTGATGAATTTAACACCAGGGGGCTTGTTCGGGTACTGCTCTTCAAAGTGCATGACAAGACGGAATGTGCCATCCTCAAAAGGAGTATCAGCAGGCCCGATGATAACAGCATTCCTAGTAGAGACAGGATCAGAAACGAACCAAGGCAATAAATAACAACATCAAAAATTTAAAGGGCTTACCAGGTCATGACATTGTCAGCTACCGGAGAGGCTGAGACACCGGCAGGAGGGTCGGTTTGCATACGCTGCATTTATGGAAGAGATTAGCTCACGAGATCTAGACGGGAAGAGACGGAGTCCCCTGGGCAAAAGAAGTATCATTCGAGCAGTACACATGAATATAATAAGGACCAAAAACAAGAACCAGGAATTCCGAGCTCTACGAGAAATGCGTACCTTGAAGTCGCGCATGAGACGACGACGGGCAGAGGTCGACATTGCGGCGGGGTACGGATCGGAGTATGAATGGGAGCGGGCAAGGGGAACTGTCAACACTGGGGTTAAATTGTGATACAGAAGACAAAGGCCGTCTTCAGATCTTGAATCTCGAGATGCTAAACTGAACTCAAATGTTGTTTTGAGAGAAGAGAGTCTGGATGTGGTTTGGGAAAAGAAGAAGATGAGTAACAATGGGAGGAGGCGTGCAGATCCACTACAGACCGCTTGCTGTTTGGAGAGTTCCTACAATCAACGGCAAACCGCCACGGCTTCCATTCTACCCCTTTAATCATCAAAGAGATCCACTGGGAATTTGCTTATCTCCTTTACTAAGTTCAATAATATCCTTCTCTTTCAATAGGCATTTTATTTTCCCGATTCCTCGGACTACTCGTTCTACAAGGTATGTACTAAATGTGCTGGGAAATCTCCTGTCCTGTGATCCGGTTTACTACTGAGCTTCCTACTGACTAAACCAAATGAGTCCTAGTCATCATGATGGATTCTTCAACGCTAACGGTCGGAACTCACCCGTGAACCCGAGCATATATCATCATGATCCTTTATGTTCTCAACTAACAATATCACCACAACAAGCTTTGTCTATCAGCCGAGAGATTCCAAATCCGTAAGCCTATGCCTGCCGCGTCCTCTGCCAGCGGGCCAAGTTCTGACACCCTGTAGCTGGAGCACATACGGTATAGTCCAAATTTAGTCCTTCAGCACCAAACTATCATACCTTGGACAATAGAGTTAAAAGAGGAAGTAAATTTGAAACCTATCCAATAAAATGAGGTTTATTCTTAAAATACAGCGTTCACTGCAGTTTGTAGGTGGTTATTTCTTACTTCAAGAAATTAATCTGTACATATCCATGTACTAGTAGTGTAATTGAAATAAATATTGGTCCCTGCGGATATGTTTGTCATAGGACTGTTTCGAAGTCCCCAAGAAACTAGCATTCGCCGTCTACTGGAGAATTAGATAGCCTAATATAGAGATAAGAATCTAGCATGCGTATGTTAAAACCGATATATTCCATACCGCTCGGACAGTTATTATTATCCTCCTGGCAATTCGTCATCCACAGGACAGGGGATATGATGTCACGTTGATGGACATAGTTCTCAAAATCCTTTGTTGCCCAGGAACTACTAGTAGTTGTGAGAACTACATGAACATAAAGTATTTGTTTCAAAGCTACACACTCTATCGCGAATTGAAAATATGTAATCCGGCCCCCTATCCCCCGCGCACAAGTCGAGGAGGTGGATGGTATCTATGCTTGTACATATATACAGTCAATTCCCAGCATATCAAGACAACTTTACCACCGAAAGTTTCCTGGGCCCAACATGGACGACTTAAAGCGGTTCCAATATAGACGAGACGGGATTTTATACAAGGCGCGTAGAGCTTAGGGGCTGGCAGTTGACTTCACGAGTCACGACCGACAGAGAGCCACTTGAGTCACTACTGGACTTTATAGTAGGTACGGAGTAGTAGCGGCGGAGTTGTGGACATTGAATCTGCATTGATACAGTGTGTGATCCTTATCGGAGACTTGCTGAATTGGTAATATATCCTTGATATCCATGGATCCATTGAGATCCAGCCATTATGGTTCCTTATCGGGTAAGGGGCATACCAGCTCTCAAGGCCACATGATCTCACATCATGTGATCAATCCCTTGTTCAAAACAGCCTCGGTCCAAGCGGATGAGCGGCGAAGTGGTTCCGCGCCCACCGGGTGAAGCAGCAGTTACATTGGCGGCTAGAGGCGGATCACTTTGCGGAGAAGCAGGTCGAAGGCACCTCGAACCGGGACACCTACCCTGAATCCGGAGACAAGGTACTTATTATCTTTGTTTCCTCTTTAATCTCCCTTTTTCCCTTCCATTCTACAAGCATTGAAAAATGGCGATCCAAGCTTCAGCTACCCGTCTCTTCAAGCGAGCGGCTATCCCCGCATCTCGCCAGTGGCAGAGACAGTTCAGCGCTGCAACCCCGGCACTCAAGGAGATCCAGGATGCCTATATCCTCAGTGCCTCACGAACTCCGACTGCTAAGGTTCGACCCTCTACTATACCCAACGCTGTTTCCAAGTAAACTCATTGTTTTAATAGTTTAATGGATCGTTCACGTCAGTCTCTGCCCCCGAGCTGGGCGCCGTTGCCATCAAGTCTGCTGTGACCAAGTCTGGACTCCCTGTCGAGAAGATCACCGATGTATACATGGGAAATGTTCTCCAAGGATCTGTGGGCCAGGCACCAGCTCGTCAGGCTTCTATGTTCGCTGGCTTGTCGCCTACAGTGGAATCCATGACAGTAAATAAAGTGTGTGCCTCGGGTCTCAAGGCCGTAGCACTTGCTGCGCAGAATATCCAGCTTGGCCTTGCAGACGCCCAAATCGCTGGAGGCATGGAGAATATGTCTCGTGTCCCTTACTACCTCGCACGTTCCAGCCAGCTTCCACCGTTCGGAGAGATCAAACTGGAGGATGGTCTAATCAAGGATGGTCTGTGGGATGTCTATAACAAGTTCCATATGGGTATCTGTGCCGAGACTACAGCCAAGAAGTACGAGATCTCGAGGGAAGACCAGGATCAATATGCGATTCAGTCGTACCAGCGGGCCCAGAAGGCCTGGAGTGAGAATAAGTTCGCCGATGAAATTGCCCCCGTCACTGTCAAGGGTAAGAAGGGTGAGACCGTTATCGAACGTGACGAAGGATATGAGAATCTGCGGATTGATAAGTTGAAAACATTAAAGCCCGCCTTTTTGAGAGATGGCACAGGCACTGTCACTGCTGGCAATGCTTCCACCATGAATGATGGAGCGTCAGCTCTGGTTCTGGCTAGCAAGGACTTGGCTCGTGAGTTTGGCCAGGGTAACCGGGCCCTCGCGCGTATCGTGTCTGCTGCGGATGCCGCTATTGACCCCGTGGACTTCCCGGTCGCCCCAGCGAAGGCAGTTCCCATTGCCCTTGAGCGAGCTGGTATCACCAAGGATCAGGTTGCCGTCTGGGAATTTAATGAGGCATTTGCTGCCGTTATCAAAGCCAACGAGAAGGTTAGTACCCGCCACACGGGAGATTATCAATACTGAGTCTAACGTGCATTTAGATTCTTGGGTTGCAGAACGCCCGTGTCAACCCCCTGGGAGGAGCTATCTCTCTGGGACATGCACTCGGAAGCTCTGGCTCGCGTATCTTGGTCACCCTTCTCCACCAGCTGCAGCCTGGTGAATATGGTGTGGCCGCGATTTGCAATGGTGGTGGCGCCGCTAGTGCCATGGTTGTCCAGAAGCTGGATCGGGTTGACTAGTCCTGTGCACCGGCATGGCATTTTCTTTTGATTTACTTCTGATTTGAAAAGCGATAACCACAATGAGTTTATACCCGCATAGGTCTGGACATAAAATGGGCCAGCCAAAGCCTGCATATGTATATTTAGGCGAACCGAGACAAGATGTAGGCGGACCGAAATTGATGATTTTTCCAAGTTGATTTGCAACTGCGCTTTCCAGTATTACCGCTTTTAGCCACACATTTTGTAGATGTCTCAGCAGCACGTGATAGGTAAACACATGTCACCTGCCAAGACGCGCGAAATGTCTACGCGCTTTACCCAAAGCGTCACATGAATAACTTGTAGTACTCTTCAGTCTATATCTGAAGATTATATTCTAAAGTACACAACCAGTTACCCTTGAACCGTCTTGGTGCTATAATGCTAGGTCCATTAGAACTGCAGCTTTTCCCCTCTTGTTTCAACTGCATATCATGGTCTGCAGACGGTGAAATTGCCGTAGCGGCAGGGGAATATGTCCAAATATTAGTCAGTGCATCGAATCCTACTTTGCTTGTCAATGAAGCAAAGCACCGTAAAGAATGATGACCATATCCTAGTAAACAGAGCTAATGACAGACAGACACCAAGGCATACGACAGAAAAAGAAGGAGGCAAAGGGTCGGGTTCCCAGGCCGCAACCAATACTTGGAACGTGACACGCATTCGCACGAATGTTTTCACAAACGGGGAGTGGCCCATAATACATCCTCAGAAGCGGGAAAACTTTTCAATCGGGCCGGAGCAGTCTATCACTACTGTCTCCGGCTTGGCCTGGTCGCCACCAGGACTCGCCAAGCATAGACGCTGTGTTTTGGCAGTATTGACTTCGAGTCTGCTTCTATCATTCTATGATATTAGTCCTCAAGGAAGATGGACACGGGTTGCTATCGTCAACGACTGTCTAAGCTCGTACTTCAAGTCTTTTGTTGATGACGAAGAGCTCAGGTTACGGAAGTCCAATATTCGTTCTTTTACGTGGTGTCCGCCTCTTAAAGTTCCGATTGCAGAACAACATGCCACGAGCTACACAGTACCGCCTCCTGAAAGCCGCTGGGGTATGCACTTCCTCTCGGTCACCAACGACGACAATGATATGATTCTCTTACAGGCTCGGAGATCTACAGATCCGACTTCCACAAGCTCCTACTCTTTTGAAGTCCTGTCCCTTACTTCACTTGATGAGCATATAGAAAATCAACATGTCCAACCGGCCTCGATATTCGCCTCTGCTCTGAGAGCGCGCGCTAGGGCATCTTTCATGTCGCCCGGCCCATGGGTCTATCAGCAAACTAAGGATAGAGATGGTGTTTGTTCTGCGATTGGGAACGTGGCTGTCACACTGGGGGCAAAGCTCAAGATGGTCAGACATGTCATAACCTTGATACCGGACAATGATCAGGCAAGCTCTGCAGTGAATCACATGGTCCAATGTGTCTCTGAAGAGAACATATCGTACGGAGGACTCCTGAAAAGCTACCACTTGACTGGCCCTCTGCATTGGCTCTACACAGTAAGTTTGCACTGAGAAACGAGGCCGCTTTTATTAATAAGTATGCAGGAGGAATCTTCTGAAATTGGTCTTGTCGTAGGCAGCTTTGCTGGATTGACTACAATATGCTTTTCTCGCGCAGCATATCAAGGAGTGAAAGCAGCAGGGAAAGGGAACCAAGTTAGAGAATTGCCGTTCTACGAGTCCACCGGAAGTGATCTAGGAACTGACTGTCCGAGGCATTGGGAACAGACAAGTGGTAAGGTTTGCTTACACCCAACGAATATCTGTCGCTAATGGAGACCAGCCATGACCGTTGCTTTGGATGAGGCAACGCAGATGCCAATCCTTCATCTCGGTACTGTAGGTGGATACACGGCAACTATGACACTGTCTGGCATCCAAAGCAGCAATGGACTCTCAGAAACACCTTGGAAGAAACAACTTGATACTATCCGCGAACAGTTTGACATAGCCCGTGACCTTGGCGGATACACCATCAGCAGAACCTGGGGTCTTGCATCCTATAATGGTCTTGTTGTGGCAGCTTTTACACTACATCCAGGAGATACGGTTGAATATCGGACTTCTGCAGAAGAGCGAACAACGCTTGTTTTCTCTCACGCGAATGCAGAGCTTACGGAATTTGATGACCTGGGTTTCCCATATCCTTTACCAGATCGATCTCCAGAGGCCTTGCGCAGACAACGGGAAGCTGCCTTGGGATATATACTCTTCACTGAAGATGGCAACTATAGCAAATTGACGTTGAGCTGGAAAATGCTCTATGCAGCCGCTTGCTGCGCGATTGTGGACTCTCAGAACGACAGGATACTGTCTCAGGCTCAAAAAGCTCTGGAGTGGTTAGCATCAAGCATAGATGTTGATCTGTCTGATGAAATAGGCAAATGCTCGGTACCAGGCAGTACGATAGACTCAAAACCCGCAGAGCAGCTTCAGGGCTCAGGCCAACAGATCTTCGAACAATGTGCTATATGCGATGCAGGGCTCTCCTGGTACTCCGCCGCGGAAGCTCAGTGTGCGGCTGGCCATCTGTTTGGTACGTAACTGCTCAGTAGAGATCGTTCCCAGTGACAATACAAGCGTTAACTGTCAACAATAGTGCGGTGCGGTGTGACATTTCTGGCTATTCAAGAGCCAGACCTTTCGAAATTCTGCTCGCGCTGTGGAACAGAATATCTCAGCGAGGATCTTGTGCATGACGAACTTGAATACACCTGTCGAACCCTGTCAGACGTATTCGACACCTGTATATACTGCAACGGCAAATTTCAAGCCTAGCAGTAAGACTTTCTTTCGTTCTTTTCCTCTATCCTTGTATTTCTATTGTACAGGCTACTGTTTATACGATTCCTAGAAGCTTTCCCGCTACTGGATTCCATTCGTCATCCCAGCGACGAGTGCTTTCCTTCTGCGCTCCGACGCGGAGTTTGTCAAGCTTACTTGTGTCTCCGAAGAGTTCAACAAGCTCCTCTACGAGTTCATCGGAGCTCCCGAATCCTCTCCCATTAACACCTTCGGTGACCAATTCTGGCCACGCCTCGAAGCGGTTCCAGCCAACCACTGGCAGACCAGCGCCGAACATATCAACTACTTTCATAGGCAGATCGACACCACTACTGCTTGTGTGTAGACTGACGCCGAGTGAAGCGGATGCCAGGAGTTTTGCATAGTCTGTGGTGGTCAGCCATGCTGTGCGTATTGTCACTTTTTCGAGCTTGCCCGCTTTTTCTAGGTCGGCGATCTGCTTGATATACATTTCCTTCTGTGGGCCTTTGCCCGTTATGATGGCTAACATCTGGGGCAGTTCCGGCATGGTCGTCGCTGCTAACTCCGAGTATCGACAGAGGGCATCAATGAGCAAAGAAAAGTCCTCATCCGCAGTCCACGACGTTGAACTGACTAGAACGCGAAGGGCCCCAGACTTTATTAGCGATTGTTCGGAAGCAGCTACCGGCAAGGATAAGAGAAATTCTTGTCGCACGTCATCATCGAGTATGGGCCGGAAGTGGTTGGCTGGTCGATCGTGCAGCGGCAGGACAGGTGCCTCCAGTAGGAACTCTTTCTTCAGGACAGACGTCATGGCTGTTGTGACGCACAAATGTGCCGTGGCATATCTTCCGAATGTCTTCTCATACCATTTCGACAGTTTGACCAACGGATGACCATTTCCAAGTTTGAGCGCCAGGATGGAGTAGCCGAAATTATGCCAATCTATAATAAGGTTCGTTTGACGAAGAAAGCAGGTTAGGGATGCGACCGCTAGAGTTGGAATAGATGGAGGGTTCTACGCGATACGAGCCGCTGGGTGAGCGTGGGTTGCGTTGGAAGTTATGCGAAACCGGGGACCAACCTGAACAAGGAGCCATTTCACTGGGCGCGTGCGATAGGCTAATGACCACCACAAACAGACAACTTGGAAGAGGACCTTCAATGGCCCAAATACTAGGAAAAGAAGTTTGTTGCTTGTTTGAAGACAGGCTGGGTGTGGAGGAAGTGCAACAATCGAGATTCTGGGGTCGGAAGAGATATCGGGATGAATTTCTGATTCTACAGGAGAGGGTTAGAACGTTGGGGAATGAGGTGACGATGAAGAGGAATCGCTCCGTACCATGATAACCAATGATTTCCACTTGGCCTCCCCCTTTGGCAATGCTCAGCGCATGGTACTGCATGCGCGGACTACGACCGATGTCCCCGAGGACGAGAATCTGTACAGTAGTTTTGGGGTCGGTAGAAGCATCTTGCGCTGTGGAGCGTTTCGGCGCATATTGTGATGGTAGTAGAAGTATGCAGAGGGTGACCACGGTGGAGATATAGAAAGCGATGCTAATGAAGGACTCAATCATGGCGAGCGGTTGAAGGGTGGGGAAATTAGACAATTTGAATATTAATCATAATGCGTAAGAGAGGTCAATTGACTATCTTGAGACCATAGAAGTTTCTCACTGTATGCCGTTGAGGTGTTTGGAAGATCCGCAGGAGCTCTAATCCTGTAAAGGTGGTGCAAGATGACGATCGGGTGTAAGACGGAGTAAACATGGCCCGGTCTTCATCCCCCCACACTTCCATCAGATCAACCGCGCGGCGATGCTGCAAGGGCAAGAGATTATCGACCTGCAAAGCGGTTGGTTACCACATTGGGAGTCAGCAGCACATTTTCTTATTGGACAATGACTAGATTGAGGTTCCCACTTGATTCTAGACATTGAAGCCGATTTATTACATCTTATTTATGATTTTATCTTTTCTGTATTCATTATAGGAATTGCATGTAGTAGTTCTGATCTGGAGGTGCGGAGATAACGAACCGAGGAGTACGATCACGTGGCCCGCTGTTATCGCCTGAAGATCGCATCTGGAGGTTCCCATTGCCACTCCCATTGTTCACCAAGCTTGCTTCTGCATCAAGTCTGCTTGTTATCCTTGGCGCTATGCCGCGTCCCTTGCCTCAATCGCCCGGTTAGATATCTTCTTTGAGCTGCTAAAGCTCCCAGAACGCCCCCATTCCTTGATTGCTCTCCTCGAACCTCCTTGACCTCTCCGCCTCCTGTCTGCTTGATCGTCGCTGAACCGATTTTCTACGAAGCAGGTGTCGCACACTGAGACCATGTCAACGGGCGCTCCTGTGTCCAGTGTGGATACAATTGCTCCCGCATTGTCGACACAGGGACAGTATAAGCCCACTCCTAGTCGTGGTCACTCACGCTCCAAACGCTGGTCGCAGGGGCCGATCTCCTTCTCTGCATCTGACGCAGCTTCCACTCAACAACCGTCGCAACCATTGACTGGGTCAACATACGTCAACGGCAATATATCGAGCTCGTGGCAAGGACACCAACATTCATACTCACACTCTTCAAGTCATGGCGACACGTGGGGCAAGTCCGACCACGCCAGTGGTGTTCACTCACACAACTCGAAACATAGCCATTCTGGTAGCGTAACAGGGCTGGTACCGGATACGCCTATCATATCGTCAAGCCCCGAGTCACAGAGGACGTGAGTACGTCCATATCCTTGGTTGATATCACTAGTTAACGACCGTTTAGTCATGAAATTTTTGCCGGAGCCCTAATAGCTTTGCCATGGATTGCCATTTCGTGGTATTATACACACCATGCACAATGGACGGATTCGCAACCCGCAACTGATGATGAAAGTATCACATCTTCAGGCACGAAGCATTTAAATCACATTCCATCAAGGACATGTATCTTGACCGCCATAACAATGATCATCTTGGGAGGAGCGCAGCTACTTCGAGTAGCCCAACGGGATAGAAGTGATTCTCAAGTCACATCACCCAAACTCCATTCGAAAATTGTTACGGCTTCCTTTTTGCAAATGAGCTCAATTGCACTACCCATCTATGCGGCGCTCAAGGTGGGTGGTTTCCTTGTCGCATTTGTACTTGCTCTGGCAATCGCGTCCGGGGTGCCGACACTTGCGCGCGGCTATGATTCTCAAGATAGCAAAGCACGGCTGAGTCAAAAGAAACTGACAATTGGTGTCATCGCAACCGTGGTCGTGTTGAGCTTTCTGGCAATGAATACGTCTTGGGACGCAGAGCCCTTTTTGGGCTATGTATCATTGCTTGTGTCGGTTTTTGTCATTCGCCCGCCTTTCTTGGCCTTTACACTTGACCCTGCCTATGAAGCAGCAGTACCACAGGAGAAACTTTCCAGCCTGGAATCATCTGGTGTTTCTCCTAGCGATCCAATGCTGACTGCTCTCCTTGGGTTGCTCCTAGCAGTTGGCACCACTGTTGCCGGGGGCTTATATTTCCATCTTTCAGGTATGATGTATGTAGTGGCAGCTGCCGGTGGTTTTGCAGCATGCTTAATGTATGTGACACCGACAAACTTACGCTCGCCGCACAAGATTGGTCTTGCCATTGCAACTGGTGGCGCCGCCCTGCTATGCGCACCACCACCGCGCGACGGTGCTTATGTGGTCTTCATCTTCAGGGGGATCCTTGCTGGGATCGCGGTTCTTGCCTCTAGGTTTGAGGATAGACAGTTGCGCTTGGTGATGCAAGCCCATAACCATCACCACCATCACACCCACTCCAATGATGATGCGTCAACCATCACGAAGCTCATCCTCCGCTATAGTGAGCCATATCCACTACTGTACAGCATTCTCAAGGAGAGTGACTCTCGTCGCATCTTCTATTTCATGACGTAAGACCACTGTTTCTTGTGCACTTCATTATGGCTGACCCTGCTAGTCTCAACTTTGCGTTCATGCTCGTTCAGCTATCCTATGGATTTCTCACAGGGTCATTGGGGCTCCTAAGTGATAGTATCCATATGTTCTTTGACTGTCTTGCGCTTGTTGTTGGCCTCTGCGCCGCGGTTATGAGTAAATGGCCACCCAGTGCGAGATTCCCTTATGGATATGGCAAAGTAGACACACTGTCGGGGTTCGCTAACGGTATTTTTCTCATGTGAGTGGCCTCCCGCTCGTCATCAGGTTGTATTGCTGACTTTGTCTCTAGGATTATCAGTATTGAAATCATCTACGAAGCGGTGGAAAGGCTATCATCAGGCAGCCAGATGCATCGTATCGGAGAGCTGTTGGTGGTCAGTGCTGCCGGCCTCGCCGTGAATCTTGTGGGTATCATGGCGTTTGACCATGCACACCACGGACATGACCATGGCCACGATCATTCACACGACAATGAGAACATGCATGGGATCTTTCTCCACATTCTTGCTGACACCCTTGGTTCTGTCGCCGTTGTGATATCAACCATTCTTGTACACTACTCTGGCTGGTCAGGGTACGACCCCATCGCCTCATGCATGATTGCCATCTTGATTTTTGCTTCTGCTGTGCCGCTAGTCAGCAGCACTGCCAAGAAACTCCTTCTAACCCTTCCAGCTGACGTCGAATATAATGTCCGTGAAACTCTAGCTGGCGTGAGCACCCTACGGGGAGTTGTAGGGTACACCGTTCCCAAGTTCTGGCTCGACGATACGGGGAAATCGGACCACGACCACGACCACGGCTGCGGCCATGGCCATGGCCATAGCCACAGCCATAGCCATAGCCATCATGATCACGATCACGACCACAGTCATAACCACAATCATAGTCATAGTCATGGTCATGGTCACAGCCACAGTCCCAATCACTCGCACTCCCACTCCCACAGCCACAATCACGACCACGACCACGCACACGAAAAGTCCAACCCTAATGTACTGGGCGTGATCCATGTCATCGCGTCTCGCGGCTCCGACCTAGAAGACGTGCGCCAACGAACTGTTGACTTCCTCCGAGAAAAGGGCATGGATATCCTGGTCCAAGTAGAACGAGAAGGCGACGGGCGATGCTGGTGCGGAGGCGGAGGAAACAAGAGCTCCTAACACCATGATAGACCGTGGCAGTTGGATTATTCTTCTATTGTCTTGACTTATGTTACGTAGTACATATCCTAACAATATAGCCAGATATATATCTGCACTGAGGCTGTTGATGCATTGTGTCTTCTCTAGTCATATCGTGAATTGCGCAGTGCCCCTCTATATACTTGGGCATGCCAATAATGAAAATTCCTCGTACTTAAACCAATATGAAATCCCAGCTATAACCGAGAACCCAAACAAAGCCAGACCCTGAAACAAAGAACGACAACAAAGCAGTATAACAATTTATCTAATCTACCAAAACCGCCATCCCCAAAACAAACCCCCCCCAACCCAAGCCACACAGAGAGATACTAGTATCTACAACTTACAACACGCAGCACCTTCAGCCGAAGCCTTCCCACTGTCCTCAAAAAGAACACTCCTATTCCGCTCCTGCGTCGAAACAGCCACATCCAAGGCCGGATTGCCCGTAAAGAAGTTCACAGGCTTCAGCCCAACCACCATCTTATCGACGGGCATGACGGGCCAATCTTCGATGCGGGGGTTATGCGTAGAGCCGAAGGTATGCCAGACCACGATATCGCGATTCCGGACACTCGACTCCGAAGTAGCTTGGCTCCGAGATTCAATGGCGGAAGCAATTCCCTCGCCGCCGGCAGATTGCATGGTATGTCTGCCGGCCGGGAAGAGTTCGTCGTCGTGGTAGCGGGTGACCCAGACGGCGTGGGAGGCGAACTCAGATCGTTTGGCGTGGTGGGAGGTTGGGTGGGCGAGGAGCATTTGGGAGTAGCAAGGGAGGAGTTTGAAGGCGACGGGGGTATCTGTGATTGGGTTTCTGGAGTGTTCGTTGATGATTTTGAAGGTGCGGTTTTTTGTGAAGTCGAGGTCGAGGCCGGCTTCGTGTTCGATTATTTGGTGGGTGGTTGTGTATCCGACTCCGAAGGGATTGGGGATTGTGGGGTCGTTGAGGGGCATGGGGATTGATTCTTCGACTTGCAGGGAGTTGGAGTAGCCGTCGAGGGCTGGGTCGATGCGGAGGCAGAAGAGGTGCTGGTGGTATGGGGCGAGGACGCCGGGGGCGACGATGGTGCCGTAGGGGACTTTGTCGGTGAGGTTGATGGGGCAGGTGGATAGGATGCCTGTGGCGCGGACTTCGTAGTGGATTGAGGCGTCTTGGCCGAAGTAGAAGGCGAAGATGTATTCGTAGTTGCTGACGGTGATGATGGTTTGCAGGGTTAGGACGCGGGAGCGGGTGACTGCTGCGTTCTGGGTGCGGAAGTTGGTGTGTTTCCAGAGGATCCCGTCGTCTTGCTCGTGGCAGCAGATGACGTTGGGGAGTTTTAGTGGTTCGCCTGAGTTGGTGTTGTGCCAGCCGTCGAAATATTTAATTACGCCTAGGCAGTCACAGCCCAGACGCAGGTTGTTGGCGTTGATACCGGCACCGTCGTTTCCTAGATCGAAGGCCGCCTTACGAGGATATGGGGCGCGGGGGTCTCCGTAGGGCACGAACATTTCAGCTAGAGATAGACGGTAGAAGAGACTACGGCCGTCGTAGCGGATGTCGTGCAGAGTCAAGCCTTCGCGGTAATTGAATCCTATCCGCATGCGCCATTTCTCCCAGGTGACAACGTTACCGTCGACATGGAACGAGGGACCTTCGGGCTGGACCACCTGGTATGGTTTGGTGGTTTTGCGCGGCGATGATCGCAAGCTTGGGTGGTATTCGCTTGCTTCGGTGGAATGGATCTTGCGCTGGTCATATGGCTTTGGGTGGTCGTGGATACGCTCGTCTGACGATGATGGAAGCTGGTATATTTTGGTCACCTGAAGCTGTTCGGAGACTTCTGCGCATAGATCCAGCGGGTAGGCGTAGTAGTTGGCATCAGGACTGTCGAGCAAGCGCATATAGAACCAACACTGTTACATGAAATTGTTAGTTTTCGAAGCTCCAGTCAGGCATTAGCTGTGAAGGAAGTATATTCACCATGGTTAAACGCTCGGACATGTCGTTCATACCATCCGTAGCGTATGCCCACGGTTCGACGATGACTGTTGCTCCTGTGGGAAGTTTGAGCTTCTTGATCTCCTCTTGAATCCTTGTATCGGCCAAGCAGGCTTGCTCAACTGACTTCATGTATTCAGAGTCAATGTAAGAATGCTTCCCTGCGAGATGTTCTTGTTTGATAACGGCCGCGTGGTCAAGATCGATCAGCAGCTCAACTAGTTTGTTCTTAGATTCGCTGCGGACGACCACTTGTACGCGAGCTACCCGAGTAGGGGGTGTATCCTGCGGCTGCCCAGAGTGCTCCTTGTCTAGAAAGTGAATCATGTCCTGCTTGGGGGGCTCCTTCAGCGTTATCACACGAAAGATGGGGCTCTCTCCAGGTAGTGCAGAGCGTGTAATGTGTGCAGCCTGCTCTTGGTCAACAACGATCTTCTGTGTAATATGGAAAGCCTACTTTGGAGATCTCTCTGGGTGTCAGAGGATCGAATGGATGCATCGACGAAGGCATGGTGATTGAATTCAAATACTCGACGCAGCAAAAGACTATAAGGTAGTATATAGAAAGTTGTTCGAGTGCAGTCTTACGGCCCTGCCCTTGGACGGAGAATGAAGATGCGTGTTTAACTTGAGAAGGACGGTGTCAGACGAGGTTGTTTAAGTATGTTGAGAGTCCCTTATCATTGCATCAACTCCGCAGACTTCCCCCACTGCCAAGAGAGCAGGCGTCCGCTACGGTTAAGATTAACCGGGCCTCGGGGGCGGATCTTCAACCCTAAAGGCTAAGCTTCCAAAACTCTCCCCACCGCCTCGCCTCGAACATCCCTTAGCGGACAGGAACTTGCGAAGGAACATTGCAGGTTCATTCATGCTCATCACTCAATGTAGGCCTGTTTTGCTTGTCTCGGTTCCATCGAAACTATAATTGTTTCCCCGTTACCTCTGCTTCCGTGCATTCTTTTTTGTTTTGTAGCCTCGACTTTAACAGAACTGTGATACCGGACAGAATCGGCTGGAACTCATCCATCTAAAATGGCAGTTAAGGTGTCCTTGTAATTGTAACCTCTACTTGATGAGTCCCTTGGGATCCAACCACATGGGCTAAAGGGAGATGGACAGCATAGGTCGAGCTTTATTTGCTCTCTCAGATATAAAAACTGGCTTAAAATATAGGTGGAACTTTCATTGAGGCCAGCTATTATTAATGCTGCCGATACGTGCATGAGTTTTGCACCATCACAGGCCATCCTTCTAATGTGATCACCCCTGTATATTAAATGAGTAATGGCGAACTTAAGTTAACTCATGGTTTATCCCTCGTTGTGGAGTTCTCTGCCCTGGCATGTTACTGGGCTCGAGATTCCGTGGGTGGAGAGTCTGCCTCGTATTTCAGTTTAGGAAGCTCTCTGAAGGATAGGCCCCCTCCATTTTACCCCGCGGCGAAGGAATGAATCTTGGAGACGCTACCAGGAGAAGTGTACTTTTGTCATCAACGCAGTTGCCATGGGGTATCCGGTCAAAGTGAACGCGCCTGCCTGCCCTTCCTCAGAGCTTCGAAAATGGGTTGTACTGGTGAATCACCTTAAAGACCTAGTTTCTGTTTCGGCCATAAAACCGCCTCTTCCCACCGGGCATCACCCGCCTGTAGAGCAACCAAAATCTCTGAGACGAGGGCGGAACCGGAATTCCGAGCCCACCATGTCTTTCCATCAAGCTCGGCGAGTAAAACGCCCCAATGCATGAGAACAAGCAAAGCAAGCGGCTGGCGACGACAAACAACATGAACAAACTCCTTATCGACACATGCAAGCCAAGACAGGACAGAAGCTGCATCTTGTTCATGTGCGTAGCGAGCAAAGCTACGATGGAGATGAGAGATGGCGTCTTTGACGATGCTATGTTGGTCTGGCTCCATGCTGGACAGGAGTGTATCGTTTAGATCGGCTAGACGAGTCAAAGCAGCCTCAGCTCCGGCATCTAGCGGGGCACCGGACTTCGCAAAGAAGCCGTTCTTAGAGACAAATAGATTATTTTCCAGCCAGGACCGCGTGATCGAGAAAATCTTAGCCACACCTTTTAGTAACTCGAATACGAATATAAGGTTCTCGATCATGCTAGAGCTTTCGCCTCTAGATCCTGGTAACCGGGGGAGATATATGCAGATCATAATGGTGATGACGGAATGGGCAAATACGGCGTCACAGTTGAGTGGGGTTAGATTGGCAATCGCGTGTCGGAAGGGTGCAAGCCCCTGGTTATGGTATTCGAGGGCCGTATCGAGATAAGACAAAGCTTGTGGTGGCTCCAAAGCGGAGGCCGTGTGCAGGGAGGCTACTGCTAGGATTCCACTCATGAGAAAGTCATGCTCCAGAGCTTTGCGTGGCATGACAACCTGCCATACATAGTGATCTGATTCTTTGTTGCAAAGACTTCGATATGTATCCGTGGAAAATTTATGCATCAGCTCTAGTTCCCGCTTGCGAGAATATGTAAATGGAACGTTGGCAGTTGCGCCAACGAAGGGGTGACTGGCTTCATCCGAGGTTGGACCCAGTCCGGGATGTATGGAGTTCGGACTCGCAGATGAAGAACTGGCTATGTTGCGTGCTGCAGGAGTGTTCAAGTAAGTGCAGCGAAGTTCTCTGGTGACACAATTTGAACATGGTGGGCCTTTTTCGTCGCACTATATGATGTTAGGGCAAGGAGAACAGGTATAAAAGCTATGAAAAGAAAGCCATTTGGAGTTAAAGCTGCTTTAGCTGATCAAAGTGGAAATAAGGTTGGATATATATTGATGAAAATGTCAGAGTGGGAAGCATGTTCAGTTCCAGATCATGGTAGGATTGGACACATGGGAGAATTGACTGAAAAAGAAAAAAACACGACCTACCTTGACTCTCCTCTTCTTGCACTGATCACATCCATTGCGCGATTTGGTATGGGCCCTCCGTGGCATGGTCGATCCACAAGAAACTAAAGTGCATTTGACACCAGATTTCCTCTGACTGGCGACCACGTGGAGGAACACGTGGGGGGCACGTGGGGAAAACCTCCGTGGGAGACAGCCGATGTCACGTGGCTTCGGGCATAGCAGCTATTGAATTTTGATGAGGGCGAAGGTTACTCCATACAACTGTCCTCCTTTCTCACCAAGATACGGGGTACTCTCCATTCAAATCCCAAACGAGGCAGTGACGCAGTGGGGTTTGGGCTCCCCGCTGCGGCCGCTACTCCACAACTAGTGTATTGTCTCGGCCAGGGCCCGGGATGCACTCTACAGGACATCTCCCTTTTCTATGTGGACCGCGACTTCACTACGGATATATTGAGGCTTATCGAAGGTCTTGGGGAGTAAGCACGGCCTACCAAGACGGGTAAATATGTCAGCCTGGCGCCAGGTGGCTATCTCGGTGCTCCTTCGAGTCAGAACATAGCCATCGAGCTTATGGATCAATGAATCAGTTTAGGGCCCGCGATCAAATTTCAGAAGGAAAAGTGGGGCTGCGAAAACGAATGCGAGAGCGAGAGCGAATGCGATCCAATCAGGTCTCCCAAAGCATGCCTTTTCTTCTATGAGAAGCAGGAATTTGCCGACAGGATCCACTCGAGTCATGGCAATCGGGGAAGAGAAACGGGACTTTAAAATAGTATTCCTGTATTAAATATATACGAGGCGCCAGTCATCGAGTTGTTCCAAGTTACGGTCTCTCCCTGATTCTTTATCTTCATAGACTAGACGCCACATAAATTTATTCTTCTATACTTTCGTTTCTAGTGCCCGTCGTTCTTTTTCTTTTTTGGCTCATTTTCTTTTCTCTTCTCGTGTATACATATACTAATTTCGAAGCTCGAACCAACATGGCCAGCTACAAAACTTGTACAGAAGTCACGCCCTTGTGCCCCGTCGAAGCTACAACGTACGGTTACTACCCCAACTATGGTGGTAACATCTTCTTCGCGGTCTTTTATGGCCTTTGCGGCGTATTTCAACTCGGTTTCGGCATCTATTTCCGCTCGTGGACGCTGATGGTGGCGCTGGTGGTCGGTACGCTTCTCGAGATGGCGGGTTATATCGGTCGAGTATTGATGAATAAAAATCCTTGGGATGGCGGCGCGTTCAAGTTGCAAATCGTGGCAATTATTCTGGGGCCAACGTTCATCGCGGCGGGCATCTACCTCACCTTGAAGCACATCATCCTTTCGCTGGGACCGGAACACTCGCGCCTCAAACCGAAATTGTTCACCTGGATCTTCATCGGCTGTGACATTGGGTCTCTGATTTTGCAGGCGGCTGGTGGTGGTGTGGCGGCTGCTGCTGGAAGTGACCAACGGGATCTTCTGAATGCGGGAAATGACATTATCATCACGGGTATAGCGTTCCAGGTCGCAACCATGTCCGTCTGTGGAGTGTTGGCTCTGGACTTTTTCATCCGTTATCTTCGTCGTAGCTCGGGAGAGAAGGCTCTGGGCGGTGGGAACGGACGGAACAATATCAAGCTGGTGGTTATCGCAGATATCTTTGCCTACTTTACGGTCTTAATTCGGTGTATCTATCGGTAAGTCTTTCAGGGACGATGCGAATCGCTTGTACTAACGTGGTATGCAGTATCCCAGAGATGGCAGGCGGATGGGGGAACCCCTTGATGCAAAAGGAGGACGAGTTTCTGGTTCTGGATGGAATGTGAGTACCCTCATAGACTTCGCCCTACCATGCAGATTGCTAAGCTCACCAGGATGGTTGCCTTGGCGGTATTGGCCTTAACAGTTTTCCATCCCGGATTCTTCCTCCCATCCTTGAGGAAGGGGAGCAAAAACATGGAAGCCGCCTGATATACTTACTCATCCTATATGTCTCAGGATACCCCAAGCATGACAACAGAAATAAACAACAATTCAAGATAGATGCAGATAGATATATTCATTTCGTTCAGAAACTGAACATATGTTGGCAGCGCTATGCTGCAGTATGGTCAAGGAACTATGAAACAACGGCAATGCAAAACGAGTAAGTCCAAATTTCAACTCCGAGCCGATATCACGTAACTCCAGGGGAGACAGAGAACTTAGATGAATGGAAGATAAGAAAGGTGCGGAGACAAACAGCTGGCGCTACTCGATAGACTAATAGTCCATCATGCGAAGGTAAAACGGAAAAAAAAAAAGTTCAAGCCTTTCAACCCAATGGCCAACAACACCAGTCACGCATAAATCTCATTATGAATCAAGAGCGCTTTACTCCTCGCCCAAACTGTCTCGGACACACTTGCGAACCCGCTTCTTAAACTCCTTAGGGTCTTCTCTCCATAGGCGGGCAGCTTCCACGTTGGCGGGGCTCTCGTCATTCGGGCTTGAGAGCATGGAGATCACGGATAGCAGGATTGTCTCCGGGGTCTGGACGGGGGACCAGCGCTCTGCAGCAGACTCGTAACCGTACTTGTCTTCCTCGGGTGGGTGCAGAATGGAAATACAGACGTCGCCATTGGGGTAGACTATAGGTTATCAGCGTTTGGTTCGGGATAGACAAGCAGAGCGGGGAATGAGGGGAGAAGATGCATACTGTTCGGGTGGAAAAGTGGTGATTCAAATTTCATCTTCGGTGGCATATGTGGATATTCGGGAGGAAAGGAGAGTCGAGCACGGAAGAAGCCGCCTGTTAAAAAAAAATCAAAGCCAATCAGTAAGTGTCTGAGGGTCTATATGCTGCTGGACTATCGAATCTTTCCGGAACCGTCAGATTATAGACTTACCGCCGTACAACTTGACATCGTCTGAGATCATGAGCATGACTTCCCACTCAAACACATTATTATCGACGAGCCCACAGCTGATGCCAGGAAGGTCCTTGGCAGACTGCATCTGTTGCAGCTGCCCCAACAGCATGCGACCTGCTGGTGATGTAGCCATAGTGGTGGCTCTGGTCTCGGGAGGGGTAACGTGGGGCGAGAATGAGGAACGGGACGAAGGGATATGGCGCCTGACGGGGACCTAGGAGCGCATGCAGTTGATATAGCGGTTCGACAATAGGAGGACTCTCCAAAGGTACCCAAGAGGAGGAAAGGGAGAAAAGATTAGCAGTGAGGAGAGAAGTGGTGAAAGGATAGCCACTAGGGCGGTGTGTTTGATCGAGTGGGGGGCGGGGCTATTGGTCAGTTGGATGGCCTTAGTCAGGCATCGACAGAGTCAATGTTCCTCAGACACCCGACTCCGTATGTATCTATACTAAACTTATGGAACATAATATACTCGTAAAATGGATTCAACTGAGCATTCCAGATGCAATAGAGAAAAATCTGTCCTCGGCATAACTAACCAAGGGCCACTATCAACACAATAGGAGAGGTCAACAGGACAGCCAAGACGAAACTTTTCTGGCTCTATAGCCACTCGGGTCGGTGTTTCGTAGGGAATGAGTATGGCACAAGGATGAGAAAAGTCATGTCCAAGTTGTACAACAAAAAAAAAAGAATCAAAAGGGAAAAAAATAGAGAGAGTAATAAAATTAAAAGATAACAAGGATAAAGATAAGAAAGTCTCATGTACGTTAAAATATATGGATCAGCTAAGCGTTGGCCTCACTACGCCGGATACCGTATGTCAATGCCCCTGCGTGGACTTGGCATCCAAGTACAACTGAAAAGAGGATCACCGCGGCAAATTCCATGGCAAAGGCCTTACCGATCACCTTCAGGTAGCGAATGCGAGCAGGTCCATCGAAGGTTGCCCATGCATCTTTAATGCTAAGTTTACCGCTGCCGCCCAGAGTGGCAGGAACCACCTTTCCGCCGAAGGAGCGGTCAAAGGGTACGATCGCGTCATCCTCCTTTGGAAGCATGGAGGCTGCAACACGAATCGTAACGGCCCGCGCGGGGATGGATACGAGGGCGGCAAGTAGAGATGGGATGGCGACGGCTGTGGCGGCGCGGCTCACAAGCTCAGCCGGTGGGAGGTTAGCGTTGGGATCAACAACCAAATCACCCAGAGCTCCGGCAGCTCCGGTAATAAATAGAGGAATGTAGAAAGCGGCACAGACAGCGCCTTGCTCGAAGGCAACGACGGGTGCAATTTTCAGCCAGCTCTTGAAGCCGGGAATGCGCTGATAGAAGCGCTTGGAGGAGGGCTCGGATATCACAATATGTACCCAGGTCAGTTCCAGGTTGGCCAGGGCCATGCCGATGATCATTCTGGCAGCCAGCTGCCCGGCAAAGTTGGTCATGGACACAGGTAGAATTGAGAATAGAAATCCCTCGGCCAGAGAGTATGTCATAAACAGACCGAAGCCGCGGAAACGAGACCAGAAGCCGGCACGGGCACGGAGATGTTTAATGGAGGTGCGCAGGGTACTAGTGACAGGTTGCGGGCGAAGGGTGCGTGCCTCGGGCTCGACCGGGTCCACATCCTTGTTAGGATTGAAATTGGACTCGACACGGATATAGAGATCAGGGTTGGTATCCTCGATGGCGGCGAGGGTAGCAACCACCATTCCATAGGTGTACTCGATCTAGAGATGGTGTTAGCGACCGTATAACATCTAGAGCATAACCCGTTATTGAAGTAGGAACATGACAAAGAATAGTGACCTTACCGAGAATACAACAAAAAAGAAAGCTAGGACAGAGAAGACAAAAAGACCAGCGAGCCACCCCGAGAGATGAATGGAGGGCACTTCACGGTCTTTGGCGGAGGCCAGCTCCATGCCTCGGCGAACAAGGGACGAGACGACCATGGCTGTGGACTCCCGTATCAGTTCCTGGCTGAGACGGGGAAGGGAGTAATCGGTTTTGGTCCGGAAGAAGTTGAGTAAGAAAGTAAAAAGAATACCAAGCGAAAGACCGATAGTTAGATGATGGAAGATTAGATGAAATCGAAGGTTGAAGAAGATGATGAAAGATGATGGATGATAACGAGGGCCGCAATGAGGCTGAGCGGTACGCCGTGTTCTGCCCCACCAATAATCATGGGGGGCCGGCCCCACCCTTCCGGACTCGTCCTAGCATTCCACCTGACAGGAACGGCTCTGTTCACATTGTATCGAATAATTCCAACAAAATTCAATGGCTCCTCAAGTCTTTCCATATGTTTCAGCCACAACCAATATGTTGTGATCACAATGGATAAACTGATGTTCATTGCCAAGCCTGGGGTACGAGGACGCCAGCATGCAGAATGTAGTCCTTGGCAGCAAGGTGTCGATGTAATGGGCGTTGCCTAGCTAGTAATTTTAAACATGGAATAATAATTAATTTTT